AATAGTATTATTCATAATAACCCCAAAGTGGAAACAACCCAAATGTCCATCAATTGACAAATGTATAAACAAAATGTGGTCTATCCATACAATGGAATATTAGTCAGCCATAAAAAGGGGAAAAAATGGATTTCAGATACATGCTACGACAGGGGTGAAGCTTGAAAATGTTATGCTGAATGAAAGAAGCCAGGCCACATACTGCATAATTCCATTTATATGAAACGTCCAGAATAGATAAATCCATAGAGACAGAAAGCAGATTAGTGGTTGCTTACAGCTGGGGAAAACATAGAGCGGATAGGAGGGTAAGGAATGACAGCTGAGGGCGTGGGTTTCTTTTGGTAGCAATGAAAATGTTCAAAAACTGGTTATACATATCTGGGAATATATTAAAAACTATTAAATTGTATACTTTAAATGGGGGAATTGTATGGTATGTGAATTATATCACAATAAAAGGGTTAAAAAAACAGGAAGGGCAAGTCCTCCTTAGGTGGCAGGCCTAAGCCACGTGGGGCAGGCCAGTTTACCATCTCCGCACTAGGGGTGAGGAACAATAGCCAAAGTAGGAATAAAGTGGCCACTGTTCTCATTTTCTATTGTTCTTGATTTCTTACAGGGTAGAGTGGCCATGATTCAGGCAGAACTGGGTGTTCATGTATAAACTGACTGTAATACCATTTTCATACCACCAAAACCTCACCTAATACACACAACGTAGATATTAATAAATCTCTAAACAATATGCCAAGCAAAAGAAGACACAGGCAAAAATCTCTATTCTGTACAATTCCATTTATATGTTCTACTACAAGCACACGATCTATGGTGAAAAAAATAAATCGTGTCAGTGGTTGCTCCTTGGGCTTTTGGGGGAGAGATGACTGGGAAGGGGCATGAAGGAACTCTCTGGAGTGTTGGAAATGTTCCTTATCTTGATAGGGGTCTGAGATACATAAGTTTTTGATTTATAAATACTCATGGAATGATACACATAAGAATGTGCATTTCAGTGTATGTAATTTTACTTCAAAAAAAAAGAATAACCATACGCAATATTGACCCCTAGTTAATGATTTGCATGCTGATGTGTTTGGGGGAGATATACACTGATGACTGCAACATACTTTGAAATGTGTTAAAAATAAGATGGATGGATAGAGGGACAGGTAAATATGTGATTAAGTAAAACAAAATGTTAATTGTAGAAACTAGGTGGTCGGTATATAGATATATAAAATCCTTCAACTTTTCTATGTATTTGAAATTTTTTATTAAACAAAATATTGGAAACCACAAACAAGTAAAAATCTTACCCTGATTTGGAGTAGATGCCTAAAACAATCTGATAAAAACTGGACCTCTTCTCAGAGGCACACATTTCAACAGAAACAAAAATTTTCCCCTAATGGACCTCCTAAAGCCCATTTATGAATCCCTAATGTATCCAAAGAATTAAAGGCCTAATGGTTTTCTAGATGTACATGATGGGCAAGGAGACGAAGGCAATTTGGCGAATTCTGGGAAAATATCAATTGCGAGAATGATGGTGCAATTATAATTGAAAATAGACATGTATTTGTATGGACATGTTTCTGTTACTGATTTTAGTGGTTTCTTTATCTGGCAGTCTTGTTCCTCATTTAGCATCCAATTAATAAAGCTGCTACTGACAGGCTACCTTAATGTTTTCATTCGGTTTAGTTCTGACAATTGAGGGTTCTCAGCCTAACCATGGTTTCTTCATAAATCTTGGAGATCAGAAGAGCAAGCACAGATGGATTTTCCAGACTTAAACTGATGGTGTGCTAATAGACCCAAGACAGGGGAGGGAGCAGCCATCAGTTGGGTACAGAATCTTCTGAGGCAGGAAAGCAGTAGAAAGCCTAACAACTAACTTATTCTTTCAATTTGGTCACTCATTGGGTGACCCATTTATTACAAGGACACGGAATTGTGGTTTTATCGCTGATTTGACCTTTGAAGTCTGCTGGGCTCCATTCATACAGGGTGTTTTCAAGAAAAAAAAAAAGATACTAAGGATCCTCCAAATGAAAGGTCTTAGAGGAAAGGAGGTGAAGAAATCAGGAGTTTCCAGCTGCCAACGAGCAGTTAGGGCAATACAATTCTCTGGATCAGTTAGGGCAATACAATTCTCTGGATCAGTTAGGGCAATACAATTCTCTGGATCGGTTTCCTCTCAGAGGATTAGGAAGGATTTACACTGCATACACAGTCAGTTAATGCTTCCTATCTGCCTAGTTGTCCCATGCACTATGCTAAGCTCCTTTATCCGTGGCACCTCATTTTCACCTAGACCACAACTCTGCTAGTGCCGTCATTCCCACTCTACAGATAAAGACACTAAGGTCAGAGATCCTGGGGCTTGCCAAAGACCACATGACCATAATAAAGATCTCTCCCTGTCTTTCACATCCAGGTCTCCTTTCTCAGAATCCAGGGCCCCCTGATGGTTCCTGCAGCTCAGTATTTCTGTGACTGTTTTGGCTGTAATCAGCATTTACGCAAACATTTAGAAAACATAATTAATTTTCCTCTGAATTCAGTACTCCCCCACCCCCCACCAACCCACAGGATACAAGGAGAACCTTCAGGAAACTGGCTCTCCCTGGGGTGACTGTGGCCCCTCCCAGATGATTCTTCCTGCCTTTGTCATTCTCAGAAACCAGCAGCCTGACAAAGAACTACCAGAGCAAGGACCTTCTGGGAAAGCAGACAGGCAGCTCTGACTTCTCCCATTCAGGGACACTGTGTGCCTCTGCTCTGAGAAGGGCCAGGCAGCATTTTCAGGCGGGGCGGGGCTTGTCGGGGTGGGGGAAGCCTCCTGTGGCCGCTTCTTCTCTCACCCAGCAAGGCCTGTTCTCTCTGGATCCTCTTCCTCCTCAGTACTGGCACCCACAGCAGCCCTCCACCCCAAGGCTGAGGGGCTTGGGGAAACTCAGCAGGTGTGGGATGACTAACAGCGACCTCAGACCCAGGAAGGTGGGCTGCAGGGGTCCTCAGAGGGCACCTTACCCGCCCTCCTGGGGACACATCTGCCTCTGCCTCTGCCAGATGCAGTCCGGATACATCTTATTTCTGAAAAATCAGCCTACCTTGTTGGACAAGAAGTGTTTTCCCCCAGTGGAAGAGAAGAGACTGTGGGTGAGATTTAGAGCAAGAGGGACACACACACACACACACACACACACACACACACACACACACACACACACACGGGGGGGGGGGGGGGGGAAGCAAGTGACAGATGGTGACAACAAGAAGGGGGGTGGGGACTGTTAAAAGTGATAGGAGAGGGAAAACTGGAGGTGGTAAGGAAAGAGAGGAAAAGAAGGAAAGAGAAAAGCAAATCACTGCAAACAAGCAGAGGTGGCAGCCTTCACATCTCCAAACAAAGGCTCTGCAGGACATTTTTCTCAGCTCAGGATGACTTCAGCCTCTAAGGATGCTGGAAGAGCTCAACATTACAGCTAGAGTTGCTTTTCTGCACCTGTGACCTAGACCTGACCCATTGGCTCCTTCTTGGGCCACAGTGATCAGCTCTGGCCTGGGCGTGTGACTCAAAGCGGTCCATGAGACTCCATCCCAGGAGCTTTCTTGGAACCATTAGGAAAAGGAAGCTCTTCTCCAGTGGGAGTTTGTGTAAAAAGAGGATGAAAGTCTGGAACTGCCAGAAAGCACCACGCAAGGAGATCCTACTTGAGAATGAAGTCAACACAGAAGGAAACAGAACAGAAAGGTGGAGACAAACTCCTGACAGGATCAACTAAGCTCCTGGATCCGGCTGTGCCTGAAGCCATGACTACCCTGGGGAGTTTTCAGGTATAGGATTTGAATCTCTTTTATGCTTAAATCCGTTTGAGCTGCAGGTTGTGTCATTAACAACTGAGCTAGTCCTACCAGAATGTCAAAACCCACCTATCAGTCTTGCCTCCTTCACAAGTTCCCAGTATCCATACCTGAGTACATACACAGCTCTCCTGACAAAAATGGTGGCCAACAGCGCCTGGGATTGTCCCACAAGGGAAACACAAAGGCCAATAAGATAACTGCTAAGTAATGATTTTTAAAAAGTAAAACAATCACAAGGAGAAAGGAGGGCTATCCTTGCTCTCTACCAGGCTGCACTGACATTCACAGGCCCTTGGCACTTTTGCTTGCATGGATTCCTTCCTCCATTAGAAAAAATAATAATAAATGTTATATTTTACAACTGCATTGGCCTAAAGATGAATATAATCCAGGCTGGATCATATTCACTTGTTTCTTCTTACTTTAAAAGAAATGAAAACATCTGCATGGGTCCCTAAAATTATCACGGGCCCTGGGCACTGTGCCTCTCTGCCTGGATAGGCCATACTATCCAAGGCTGCTTGTCTATACAGTCCAAGGTCCCTCGAGACTAACTTGACTCTTCTCCTTGTCTAGAAGGGATGGAAGGGCCTGGTGAGCCCCTCAGAGCCCAGGCGGGCCTTTCCCTCTCCCCCCACCACTTTCCTGAGCCGTCACCGCTGGGTTTCATATGCCGGCACCCACTGCACTGGGGACACACCTGGAGTCTGGCATTATCAGTGACGAGACTGGCAGCTCAACACCCCATGTCTCATTCATCGACGTGCTCCAAATCCCAGCACAGGCTGGGTGCAAAACAGATCCCCAATGGGGGAGGGACTGAGGGACACAGTGTGCTTCCTACTTAGGGAACCCTTGCCACTTAGGATTTGCACTTGGGCAGACGAGGGCACAGAAGGAGATGAGGCAGCCGGGCAGGAATGTGGTGAATTGGAGTGCACGTGCCTCTGAGGTCTTGCTGGGCCCCATCTATTTGGAGGATGATGTGCTGACTTGCACAGTTGGAGGGCGTTATGCGGGCCAGCCCAGTGTTGAGCAGGCATGAGTCAGCATGAGAGGCCCGTGGGGGTGGGTGGGGGTGGGTGGACCCGTGGGCCCGTGGCCCTAGATTACCCCTAACTCACCTTCGTCACTGGTGTGAGGTTCGGTGCCATTGTCATGGTCAACTTCATCAATGGTCCCTGGCTCACTGTGTGGGCTGTCACTGCAAGGAAACATGAGAAGGGGACTCGTTGGGGTGCTTTGTACCCTCACGCTGCCCTTAGCCTCCCTCAGCCACCAGCCCAGCCCACCTCTGGGCCTTGACCCAGATCAGGCCCAGGCCCACCTAATCCCATCTTTTCCATCTGACCACTCATGGACCTTCCTGAGAGAAAACTATTTCCAGACCCGTGGCTGGGAAGTTTCCCCGCATAACCTTCCCCAGATGGCCCCAGCCCTGGAATTTGTTGGGCTGGCTTCTTGGTAAAGGTTGTCAATGCCAAGGTGTTATGTAAGATCCAGAGGGCAATGGTAAAACCCTGGTCTTTATCCTCAGAAGAACCACTGGCCAGAAATAAAAGGAATTTGGAAGCACTGAGTCAATCATCTAGCTTGGCTTAGAGGGGAGGTGACACACCCAGCGAGGCAGAGTGAAGCTCACGAGAAGGGTTCCTCAAGGAAGCCTCTTGATGCTGTGTGCAAAAGCCCAGGTCAGTCCAGCTGGTGCAAACCGGCTGGCAACCATGATGGGCAAGGTGGCAGAGTGTATCCAGGCCCAGCAAATTTAGTCATTAATGCACTGGGGTAATTTCACCAGCTGTTGCCCTCTCGCTAAATTATAAGCTCCTTGAGGCCAGGTTTCATTCACATAATTGGTCAGTCAGCTTTTTCATTGAGCCATTGATTGAGTCCTAACATATGTCAGACACTGTGCTAGGTAGGAGGGATGCACTGATGGGTACGGTGGACACAGACCCTGACCTCACGGGCCAGGAAATAAAACTGCGGCAAGTGGAAACGTGTTATGTAGGAACCAATGAGCAGAGACAGGAACAGCAGAGAGGACCTACATAGGGTGGTCAGGGAAGGCTTCTCAAAGGAGGTGACATATACAATATCATTTAAAGGTATATAAACATTATTATGAAACATTCTCCATTGCCACCTGGATAAGGTCCAGGCTCCATACAATGGCTTGTTTAAGACTTCTCAAAACCTGACTCTGGCTGGCCTATGGAGTGTCCTCCCTCACCATTCCCTCACACGAAACACTCCAGACACACACGACTGCTTTTCATTTTATTGAACGCTCCAGGCTTAGAACATTCTTTGCCCACTCCTCACCTGGCTGACTCCAGTTCATCTTACAGGTTTCAGTTAAGTCATGATTTCCTCCAGGAAGCCTTTCCTGACCTCCCTACACTGGCTCAGGGGGCCTTGTTTCTGAAACTGCCCGTTTTCTCCTCCACCAGAGCTCCCTGCATCAGGAAGTATCTCCCTGCTACCCACCCAGCCCAGGGCCTGACCCAGGACAGATGCTCAGTAACCATCTGTTGAATGAATGAATGTTGTCCACTGCGATGAGACCCTCAGCCAAATCCCCTTTTGGGGCTTTGAAAATGTCTCCCAAATTACCATGTAATTAATAGTTTTCCTTCTCGTGGGACACAAACAGGACTGAGCAAAATGTGGGGATTGTGTATTGTTCTTTAATAAGTACACGGAGACCCCTTCCCAGAACACTAATTATATATATTGCAGCAAGAAAAGAGAGATGGTAATGGCTGTAAACACTTGAAAAGCTTCTCTTTGTCCAGAAAGCATGCTTGCTGGCTGTTGAATGTTTCTGTTACAGAGCAGGGACAGACTTGTCCTAGTGCCTCAAATGAGATTAGAGAGGAGTGATTAGACACCGCCAGGGCCCGGTATTCCTGTGCAGGGAAGCGGTGCAGGGAAACGGGCTGGGACATCTCCCTTCTTTGAAGCAGCTGCCCAGATATGCCCACAGAGCTAAAGCGGTTCGAGAATCCAGGGGCGTTTTGACCATTAAAAGACAAACTCCTGTAGGCACCTGGCTCAAAGCAATACAGGTAATACCTAAATACAGCTGCATGTTGTCCTGGATTGGGAATAAGGAGAGAATGCGAACCCTTTGACTGGTCTCTGCCAGTTGGTGGTCTGAATCTCCTGTCTTCTCCACATTTACAAAGAATTTTCCTATCTTTGCCACATTTGAGGTCTTAGCCTGGGACAGGCAGTCAGCCCTGACATTGATAAGGCTCTCCCAAGACCCAGTGTAGCTCCAGGGACACTGAGGTGCCCAACTAGCAACTGCTGACTGGGTGTGGCGCTCTCAAAGACAGTGAACTCACTTTGTCAGGAAAAGAGAACTCCTGGGTGGGAGGGGACAATGGTGGGGAGTGTCACTCTCAGTTCACGAGATTGAGGTGGGCATTGTCTACTTCCCTGCTGCCTGAGATGGGCTTGCGACTCACCTGGCCAGCGACAGCATTACCTCTCCTAGCTAATGTGATTAGTTTACCAGACCCCATCCTCAGCAAGGAGACATCATTCTCAGGCTTGTGTTGGAACACTTGGAAGGGAGAAGCTCTTTTTTCCACTGGGGATGCTAAGAGAATGCGCTCTGAATCCGGAGTTACCAGGAGAGCCTGCCTGAGAATGAAGCCAGCACAGAAGAAAGCAGAGCCCCAGGCTGGGCGCTGCAGGACCGAGTCCTGATGATAATTGCCGAACCCCTGGATCCAGCTATACCTGAAGGTGTGAACCCAGACTTTTTAGTTGAGTAAACCAGTAAATTCCCATTTAGCTTAAGCCAATTTGATGCAGCTATCTTATATCACACGGCTGTGAAGCTCAAATGAGAAAATGTGTATGGGAGCACAGACTACAAGGCAGTAAGAAAATTGAAGGGCTTCTTACTGTTCCTGTTCAACAGCAACAACAACAATGACGGTGATAATAATAATAATAATAATAATAATAATAATAATAATAGGAACAGAATCTTACCAATATTCTTCCCCTCCAGCCATGCATTTTTCATACACAGGTCCCTCTAGCTCCCGGGGGCTGGGGAAGATGGCTTCATGATGGATGATGATGGTTTTGATGACTTCGTTGACGTGTGCCTGGCAGGACACAGGGTCCTGCCCATCAGGGATGTGCATGAGGGTGGGCCCAAAGCAGATGGCCAGGTTGTAGGGATCCATCATGTTCTCGTCGCTATACTGTGAGAGGCTACAAGAGAGGAGGCACCCGCAAGTCACCTGGGAAACGCAAAGCCTCCCCCTGTGGGTTCTTGCTTTGGGGGACTCCATTCAAATCCAGGAGGGTTCCATGTTCTGGACATGTTAAGAACAGCTGCACCTGCAAAAGCCTCAGGACACCCCTTCCCAAAGGAGGCCAGGGCCGAGTCAAAGAGGGGACCCCGTGGCTGGGCAACTCACTGGTTGAGGAAAGCGAAGAGATATCTCATGACCACGATGACCACACGGGGAAGGGTGATGAGGATTTGTTGAATCTGGTGCACCCTCTCAGCTGGGCTCTCCAGTTCTGTAACAGAAAGGGGCTTTCAGGTTGTCTGTCATCCTCAGAGGGCCAAGTAGCCAACATTCGTGAGTCCTACCTCCTAGATCAGCCCACGTATTTCCAGGGAGCCAGTTCTCCTCTCAGTTCTGGGAACTGATACGTGAGCCTGCTCTGGACAATCAGGGCATCGTATTCCCCTGGCCACAGGGGTGGGCCCAGGGAGAGGTACATGGCCTAATCAGAACCAACTGGAGTTGCTCCTTGGGAGTTTGGGCCAGAGAAACCTAGAGAGAGAGGTGCGGTCCTGAAACTAGGTAGAGGGAAGTCTGGAGTAGCTGGGCGCTCCCAGGGAAGATCCTTCCTGAAAGTGACGACAGCACAGAGATGGAGGGGACAGATTCCTGATGATGCCATGTGAGGTCTGGGTCCAGCTGGGCCCAAACTTTTCAGGAATGTGAGCCAAAACACTCCCTTTGATGGGTTAAGCCGGTGTAAGCTGAGTTTCTGTCACCTGCAGCCTATGAGTCCTGATGAACCCAGGCAGGGCCCACGTTTCACTAAATTCTTTATAAACACCAGCTTTAGCACATAGTAGGTACTCAGGAAATGAGTGTTGAATAACCACCTCCTGAGCTACATATTGGCCAAAGAGCCAGGCAGGTGCTTGGGATCTCATCTCTGACCCCTGTTTTCAGGCCAATCCTAGAGATACAGACACGGGTATTTTTTCCCATCAGGCCAGGGGTGGGAGCAGGAAGCCTCCCCACGGAGCTGAGGCACTTGCACCTTTACTGAGTCCATTGCCCCTCATTACAGGCCCCTCCGTGTCCTCGGCTTCGGTCACCATGCCCTAGCACCACCCCCGCCATCATTCTGTTTTCCTTAAAAACATTTATTTAAAAAGGAGACTTTACCTCACTCTGTAAATGAGGATCACTTGCCATAATTAGGAGGTAAAACAGATAAAATGAAAGGAAAACAATGCTACTAAATTATTGGTAGACATTGTTCTGTACAAAAGTTTCTGAGGCTGAGGCCTCATTTCTCTGTTTAGAAGGGAGACTGAGCCATGAGATTTTCTCCTTGATGTAATCACAGAGTTTGGGAGGGAACTGACAAGGGACTTTTTTTTCACAGTGTGATTCAAGTTGTGATTCAAGGTATCCAATGTCATGAGCTTGTCCCAGAGGTCAACAACCTTGTCCACTCAGGGCCCTGCTCAGGAAATGGACTATTGGGGCTTCTGGAAACGTCAGCTGGGCAAGTGACATGGGGCTTAGACAAGGTTGGGCCTTTGTGGCCTGGAATTTCTGAGAGGTGATTTGGAGCTTGAAGTGGGTCTGGAAAGATGGGCAGGAAGTAGTGTAAGGGTAGAAGGGCGCAGGCGGTGTCTTGGACACAGGGCAGATAAGAGGGCTCAGGCCTCTGGGGGGCCTTGCCGCCTCCAGGGGCGCTGACCTGGCTGCAAATGTCTCTGAGAGCATTGTGAGAAGCATCCCTAGTGAAACTAGGTGTGGGGCAATTTTCTGCAAATCAAAGTGAAGAGTTTATTCCAATAAACCAAAATTATCATATTCCAATATTAAAAGTTCCTTTTTTTTTTTTTAAATATTCTTAAAAGGCTGCCTTGGCTTTGGGCATCTTACAGTCAAGGTACCTTTACTTCAGCCCCTTGGACTGGGCTTCTGCCTTCATCCACAGAAATATCAGTCAAGGAGGGCTCTGATGGCTAGCGATGTCAGAGGAAGCTCCCGGTCAATTTATTTGCACCATTTCTCTTGTCGGTCACGTGGCTGACCACGCTCCCAAACCCTCCATGGCTCCCCATTACCCAGGGGAGAAAGCTCCAGAATCCTCACAAGGCGTTCAAGGCCTTCTCCATCTTGCCCCATGTTACCCTTCCAGGCTTTTGCACTGTGCACTGGCTGGGATGCCCTCTTGCTGGGCCCATTGGTCTGTGTGTCCTCAACCCTTCCCAGGATCCCTGTGTCCACTTCTCCCAGAAGCCCCTGTTCACTTCACCCTCTCAGCTGTGATCTGTGAAACCACGTGTCCCTCTGTTTCTCCTGTGCTGAGCTCCGTCCATACCCAAGGTGCACCACGCCCGTTAGCTCTTCCATTACAAACAATCTTGTTATTTCCACAACTAGGCTGGAGGTTCTAGAGGAACCAGAACCATACTGCTTCTTCCACAGTATCCCTCCTGTGTGGCTACCACACTGATGAGTGCATAATGCAATGTCAATAAATATTTGCCAAGGAATTGATCATTCCCCTGGGAAATACTTACTAATAGTAGATATCAAATCTTGAAACCTTTCCTTAGGAAAGAGTGGGTTTTCCAGTCCTCGGAAATACAGTTTTAAAACGCCAGCGACTGAATTGATATCTCGTTCATTTTGATCATCCACAAGGGGGTCTTCACCTGTGAGGAAACAGGGATGATGGTTCAGGTAAGGAGGCAGGGAATGTGCTGACGGCAGGCGAAATGACCGGGCCCAGCCTGCCCTGGAAGAAAGACAGAGGGCACAGCCTACCCAACACAGCAAGTTTACAGTTCTCCCTGCAACTGACTTAGAAAATGTTCAAATCTATAGAAATGTTGTAAAAACAAAATAATGAACCACCATCGCCCTTCACTTACACTCATCAGATTACACTCTCCTTGCCATATTTGCTTTCTGTCTCTTTCTCTACTTATATTTATTATTGCTCAATTATTGGAGAGTATTTGGTAGACATCACAACACATCACTGCTAGATACTTCAATACATGTCTCCTAGGTATAAGGCTATTCTCCTACAGAACCACACAATATTATTACACCTAAGGAAATCAATGATAGTTCCAAAACGCCATCTCATATACGGCCCAAGTGCAAACATTTCCAATTGCCATGTGTCTTTCACAGGTATTTTTTTCCAAAAGCTAAGATCTAATCAACATTCACAATTCATTTGGTTATGTTTCTTCAGTCTTTTGAATGTAAAACAGACCCCAACATTTTTTATTGTTCATTTGTTTTTTATAAGATTGACTCTTTTGAAGAGTTCAGGCCAACTGCCTGTAGAATGCTTCATATTCTAGGTTTGTCTTGACTGTTTCCTCATGATTAGATTCAGGTTAAACATTTTTGGCAAGAATACCACATGGGTGATGTTGTGGACACCTTATTGCATCAGGAGGCACATAATGTCACGTTGTCCTGTTACTGGTCATGCTAAGTTGGATAGCTGGGTTAAGATGGTGGCCTCCGGACATCTACATTATAAAGGTATATTTTTCCCCTTTGTAATAATAAGTGTAAAATATAAAATACTTTAGTAAAATATATTATGTGCATGTCATTATGCTCAAGATGTTTCACCCAATGCTTTAGCATCCAATAATGACTTTTGCCTCAATCAATTATTACCCTGGGGTTGCAAAATGGTGATTTTTAAAAATTCTGTCATTCCATCTACAGTTATTAGCTGGCATTCTTTGGTCAAGAACAGCTTTCCTCATGTTCCCTCCCGCCTCCTCTTATTTTTTGAAAACATTTTATGCACTTGTTTTGTAATTTTTAATTAAATGTGTTATAATCCATTGCCATTACTATTTATCAGGGTGTTCAGATTGTCCCCAGATTTGGCCAGGGGGAGTTCTTTTGATGCGACCTCCATTGAGTACTTCTTGGCTTTCTGACACAAACAATGTCCCTGGATCACTCTGTACACTTTCCTTGACCCAAATCTGGAATCAAACATTTCTCCAAGGAGTTCTGCTTGCTTTTCTGTAGGGAATGGTATTTAGAAACCAAGATGTAGGTTCTAGGTATGCTCGTTGCTCCAGGAGTAATACAAAGAGGCTCTAAGTTCTTTCAGTGGATAGAGCTAGAATATATATTTTTCATGAGTTCACACTGCTATTTCCAATTCATATTCAAGATACAAGGTTTTCTTTACCTTTATTTATTTTGTATTCGCATTTCATTTTTCTGACAGTGAAAATCTTGGTTGTGCATAATATCAATAATTAATATATTTATGTATCTACCTTACTCTACAATGTGCATAAAATACTGGGCTGTTGGAAAAGTCATGACATATTTTTTCTATGTTTTTCATTGCAAAATGCGTCATGAATTTTCCGACAACCCAATAGTTTCAAATTTTAATAGCAATTTATCGCTAACAATACAGTTACTACATAAAATTTAAGATTTCTTTTCAGGGCTTTGTTTTTGGTTTTTTTGGTCCTCGGAATGTCTCCCACCAAAGATTTGTGGTCAAAAGTCAGAGAATAGATTAGTGGTTCTCTAGGGCTAGGGCCCGGGGTGGAGGGGGTTTAAGGAGTGACTATAAATGTGTACAAGGTTCCTTTCGGGGATGGTGAAAATTTTCTGAAATTAGATTATGGCGATCATTGCACAACTCTATAAATATACTAAAAACCACTGAATTGTACACTTTAAGAATGGGTGAGCCTTATGGTATGTAACTCAATAAAGCTGTGAAAAATGTATGATCGGAGCACACATTCAAAAGTTACTTTCTTTTGAATTGATAACTATATGGTTATCAATTTAAAACACAGCTTATTTGTTTATATTTATATTCAATTTTAGGAACTGATTTTTTTCTTTTTTTTAGAATTTTTTTTTAATTTGCAGTTTTGAAAATATAAAGCATTATAAGGTCCAAAAGTCACAACCACATAAAAAGTTGCATGCAACTTCTCCCCTCCATATGTTATATTTAACCATTTTCATTAGTTTCTGGTTTGTCCTGCTGTGTTTCTTTCTGCAAAAATAAGCAAATACATATACACGAGTTTGTTATTTTCTCTCATTTTTTACACAAAAGGTAAGTAGCATTCTATCCTACTACATATACTTATTTCTTCTCTTAACAATAAATCCAAGAAATACTTCCAAATCAGTTCATAGAGATCATCCTCATTTTAAAAAATGGCTACCAAGTACTCTTATTTCCTGGATAGACCATAATTAAGTCAACTAATCTCCTATGGATGGATGTTTTGTTTTCTTTCCAATATTTTGCTATTACACTATTGCCATGACAAATAACCTCATACATGTGGTTTTGTATTTGTGGAGGTAGGTCTCTGTGGTAAGTTCCTAGAAGTGGGATTCCTGGGTCAGAGAGTAAATACACATGTGGTTTCATCAGATGTAGCCAAATTCTCCTGCATTGGGGCTGCACCGTGTCATACGCCTACCAGCAACACAGAAAAATGCTTCTTGCCACAGCTCTGCCCATGGAATGTTGTCAACCTTCGGAATTTTTGCCAATTTGACAGGGGAAATGATCTCTCGGAGAGCAACACTTTTCAGTTTAATCAGGGGCTGCTGAGCTAGCTCACAGCGGGGAGGGCGGGGGCTGGGGGGAGCATCTGTGGGGGAGGTGAGAGGAAGCAGCGAGCAATCTGCCACCTCCCAGAAGGTTCTGAGAGGCATCTACACAGTAGGCTTCTCCTCCTCCCAGAACAGCCCAGAGCACTCTAAGACTGGCAAGCAACGAAGAAAATTGGCTCTTTTTGCTCTGTCTCCTTAAGAAGAGAATGTGTGTCACTGCTAGGGCCTCTGCTGGCCCCAACTGGCTATAGTGCAAAGTAGAGAAAGGCCCCCCTTCCTTCCTGGATGAGGGCCTGTGGCAGACAGAGAATGAGCCAGAGTCCCCTCCTACCTCCCTCCTGGACGAGCACCCTTGTGCAGTGCCCGACCTGAACAACTGTATGGGGCAGCTCAGACATTGCTGTTCCATAGGTCAGCCTCTCAGATGTCTCCATGGAAAGAGAGAGAATGTTTCCCCCACAAGACATTTTCATGGGGAAGGGAGAGAGAAAACATTGAAAAATCATTGCCTATACTGCTATAGCACATTCTCACATGTGATCTCTCTTAATCTTCAACAGCATTGCATGACACTGGGGGAGGCGTGGTTCCAACACCACCATTCTCTCCAGCGAGAAAGCTAAAGCCCCAACAAGTGAAACAACTTGCCCACGTTCAAAAACAGACACCAGCAGCTCCCAGATCTCATAATGCCTGGGAGATATTCCTTCTCCTACCTTTTCAATTCTATCTGTCTGTCTATCTGCATGCATCCTATCTCCCTTCCTTTCTTCCTTCCTTCCTTCCTTCCTTCCTTCCTTCCTTCCTTCCTTCTTCCTTCCTTCCTTCCCTCCCTCTCACCCTCCCTCCTTCCTTTACAGTTAAAAAAAAAACACTTCTTTTTTCTTTTTCAGGAAGACAGTTCCTATGGGTACTCAACATATAGAACAAAGCTGTCTTAGTTGAATTGGGGGAAGAGGTGCAAGCCTCCTCAGCCTCCTTCTCTGTCCCAGCAGCAGACCTTGAGGGCCCTCTGAAGGACCATAAGAGTTCGAAAACTGCAACTGTATTAAACTGCTTCCCTATGATTACCACACGTTACTCTTGTGATCTCATGATGTAAACGTGCACACATTTTTCCTCCATATTAGCCTCCCTTAAGCGTGATCAAATATTAACTTTATGCACACACACCATTCACTCTTGCTCTTCATCCCAGAAGGAACTCAGCCCATAAAAGGAGCTGTCCAAAAACGCCTTCCTCCTAGCCTAGGCCTTTGGCTGTCTGCAAGGCTAGTCAATTTTGGCTCCAGAAATATATGGAATTCCAGAACTCAAAATAAGCAGTGTGAATGATGGCTTCCTCTCAGAGAATTAGAGTTAAAATTTCAGGCAAGTCGGAAAGAAAGCTGTGTTCAGACTTTGCTAGCTAATGGCCTGGGGGTAGATAAAACTGCTATCAAACAGCCCCTCCCTCCAGCTCACACTCAGCCAGATCACCTAGGCATTGCCGAAGACTTTAAGGCATGGCTGTGTCCAGGGCAGGGTGTGAACACTCAATGTGTGCTTAAGGTTTCAGGGGAACTTGCCACTGGACTGGGGCCTGGCAGGGGGCGTGCAGGTGGTCTCTCTCACAAGGGCAGTTCTCTGTAGCCACCTGAGCCCCTCCTGAGGCTCCTCAACATGACAGCCCTCCCAGAGTCTCCTGGTCACACCCCTCTTCCTAGGGCAGAAAGTAGTTTCAGAAGGGCCAGGTTGAGTCCAGAAGGTGTCAGACCCTACACACCATGACTTCAGCCCCAAATCCAAACCCTATTTGATCTGCACAGGGAGAAAGGACTATTGGTCTCTTTCCAGCCACCCTCCACATAGGAGAGACCAATAGCTCACCTTGACGTACAGAAAGCATATGACCTAGGAGATAACAGTGAACCACAGCGCTCTTCGAGACACGGCCACTGAGTCCTACCTTTTACCTGATGTTTTCTCCGTCACTTTGCCAGAAGATTACAGGATGGTCTCAAAACTTGAGCAGTGAGTTTAAGATTTATTGACAGCAAAAAATAAGGATGATAATAATAATAATCCCAACTAAAATCCTGGTTGACTTGTGTCAGAAGAAAAAGAAAGTGAGGATAATAAGCCAAGAATGGCTTTCCAGCATGTTGTAATTTTTCAGAAGATTAAGGAAAAGTGACAGGTGCTTCTTTCAACATCCTATGGAAGGAACGTAGGCAAGAACTACCCCTGAGAGAGAAAGCAGGGGGCCAAGGAAGAAAAAGACCCAACTCTCTTTAAACAAGTGATAAAGTTCAGGAACCCTGAAGGGAGTAGGAGACTTGAATTTTAAAAACTAAAAGGAAGGCAGGAAAAACACACAATGTACTGGTTTGGAGAGAAAGTTCAATGATAAGTTAGGGCACGTGGGACATGAGCAGTGGGTGAGAAGAGAAACGCTGAGCTCTGCACAGGCTCAAGCCACCTGGTGGGGGGTGGGGGATGTGGAGAAACACAGTGGGTTTTCAGGAGAGGTGGGAGGAGGTGACCCTGAGAGTCAACTAGTTAAGGAACCAAACCCAGGGTGGTTGGTTGGTGAATATCAAGAAACAGAAAAAAATAAGTGAGAAATATAGGTATAGGCCAGCTCAAAGAAGCCAGAAACAGATTTTTCTAAAAGGGACATACCAGAAACCATTCTTCTAGAATAAGCTATGCCTCATTTTAGGCTCAGGTGGAGAAGGACAAGGCTGGCGAGAGAATGAGATTCACTTGGGAATTATAGAGAGAGGGAAAGGAGCCAACTGCATACATGATGCCAAGAAAAGGCAGAAAATAGTTTTTGCAGCAGAGATTTGGGTCAGGTGATCTTGGCCCAGTGGGGCTCTGCCTGAGGCGGTCCAGGGCATATTAGGAGCAGAGAATTCTTTTAAATTTCACCTGCAAGGTGACTTTAAAAATCACCCCCCTGCAAGTCACCCAAGTGAGTGACGGAAGGGGTTTACCTTAGAAAATCGCATTGAAGAAGGAAAGAAAGCAGTGCTTCTGGAGTGGAGATAGGGCCTGGCTGCCTCATATAAAAACGTTACTTACAGGACATGGGGAAGTAGGAAAATGCCAATGTGAGGCACTTGCCAGGCTGGAGACACCATGCAGTGAGTTTCCCCATGAGATTCAAGGAATTCTGTTTAATGGGATGAGTCCAAGAAGATGAAACCAGCAAAGATTCCAAACCATGTCTTTGCTCATTTACAATGAATGCAGGGCAGTAGGGGTGCTAAGGAGTTGAGGAAAACGAATAAACAAAACTCTGGATTGGGCTGTCCAGAGTTCTCAAAAGAAGCTCAGGGAATGAAGAATGACATTCCATCAGGGATGCTGATGGCAGATACCTCTTGCTTTGTGGCCTTTGCACATGCTGTTCCCTGGGTGTAGAATGCCCTTTCCCGGTTTTCCTAGCTCTTACTTAGGCATTTCCTCCCCCTCAGAAGCCTTCCAGGCTTTGCTATTCCTTCCCGCTCCATCCAAGCTGGGCTAGGGGTTCCCATGCTACCCAGTGCTTACTCCATGATTGCACTGACCATACTGTCTGTGCTTTCCCACTAGCACTGACTGTCTTTGTTCCTATTGTATTTTCAGGCCCTAGTCCATTACCTAGCGCAGTGTAGGGCTCAATGCATGCTTACTGAGGGAAGTCACTGAACGCGAAGTTGGAAAGAGATGTAGATACAAACCAGTCCTGCACACCACTGTCTCTAAGACGTGTGTTAATACCCACTCTGGCTTCCCAGCCACAAGCTTGAGATGGTTACTTTGCACCTACCTCTCTCAAAGGAATTTTTTATGTCATTGACTTCGACCTGAGATCCTGGCACTCTGAAGATCCCTTGCTGCTGGAGTCCTAAAAGAGAAAACAAAGAGAGAGAGAGAGAGAGAGAGAGAGAGAGAGAGAGAGAGAGAGAGAGAGAGAGAGNAGAGGGCGGGGGAGAGAGAGAGAGAGAGAAAGAGAGAGAGAGAGGAGGAAAGCAATGCCATGAAGGCTTGAGCTCATCAATCCACTGGGAACATGAACAACTCACCCACCTCTTGTCTCTTTCTCCTGCCATCCTTTATAAGAGAGTCATTCCCAATAAAGGTCTCCTGGCAGAAGCCCCAGGATAGCCTTTGCAATGAACTATGGCCAGCAAAATACTCAGACACATCCTGCTTCATGTCTCTGATCTCTTGTCTGGGCTTGGAGGAAAAGGCTACAAGGTGTTTATATCAAAACTAGTAGTGGATAACTACTAATTTAACCAATTCGTCAGCTCAGTCAAGTAACTGATTGGTGTACTTTGCTGCCGAGTTTACCAGCTCCACCTGCAAGGTTTGAACAAGATGAGTAAGATACCCGCCCTAGGTACACTGGTGCCTATGCTGGCACCAAGGAGCTTGGCTTCAGTTTCTGAATGCCATTTGAGTGCAATGGCCACAGAGATGTTGAACAACCCATCATTTTCTTCTTTCAAGAAAGCTAGAGTCTAAAGCACATGCTGCTGGCCTGGGATCGAGGAGTTTAAGGGAGATCAAATTGTTAAAGAAAAACAATCTCATTTTCTTAAGTGTTTCTACAAGACCAGAACAAAGAGACCCTGAATCCTGACATAACAGTAATGATATAACAGCAACCTATAGGGTTGAAGGAATTGAAGGGCCTCCCTCATCTTAAATGGGAATTAATAGGGGGAACTGTGATCCTTTTCCTGGGGTTCAGTTTTCCTATATAAAATAACTCTCCACATTATAACTTAGGAAAGTGTTTACCCTTAAAAGGCAGGCTTTAGTCAAAATTTGGCTTGTGCAAAGTTATGTGCTCAATAAACGCTTGCTCATTTCTTGCGTTAACCAATATTGACTTTCTGCCATGTACATCATTTCTCCCACCCTCCTGGCTCATTCCTGTCCAGTCACATGGGCCTTCCAATCTTAGGCCTTCATAGTTGCCATTCTCTCCACCCGGACTTCATGGCTGGCTTCTTCTCCTCTAGAGTCCTAAAGGTCCCTCAAGTCTTAGTCATCCCCTTGGAGAGGTGTCTCCTTACCCTCTTGGCCAAAGCAGCCCTGCCCCTCTCCAGCTATTCTCTATTCCCTTTTAATTAGTTTCTTGGCATTATCACTACCTGAAATTATATTATCTATTTCTATGCTTGTTTATTTCCTGGCCCTTCTAACTACTGGTAATGTTAGCTACCTTGGCCAGGTATCTTACCCATCTTGTTCAAGCCTATATTCCCATTATCCAAAACAGTGCCTGCTATGCACTCTGAACAAATATTTTTGGAGGAATGAATAGATGAATAGATGGAAGCACAAGTTAAGTGCTGGGGATACCATGGTTAGCAAATCCCAGACACTATTTCCTTCATGGTGCTTACTATTGAGTTGTCGGAAACGTCATGATGTATTTTTTCTGTTTTTCATTGCAAAAATGCATCATGACTTTTCTGACAGCCCAGTATAATCTAGCAGTATTAACTGATTGACTGCCCAACGGCATTCAGTGCTCAAAGCACAGAGCACTGGGAGTTGGATGGGAGTGAGGAAGAAACTAAAATGGTTCTGACTGTGCCCTCCCTGCTCCTTGGTTTTCCTAGTTCCTGGGTCCTCTCACCACCACCCTCTGTCCCCGGACACACACGGCTCAAAAGACAGCACTCAGAATGGCAGCTGTTCCACAGAGCAGCTCCCTCTCGGAAGCACAGCAGTGATAGGAAGTCTTCCAAGATGAATCAGAATCTCATTTCCTATGAGAACAGCCCAGCACCTGTTCTCGAGAATGCTGAAAACACTGCCCCCCAATCAAGCTTACCATATAAATTGATGTATCGGATGCAGCTTTCAACTACAAGCGGTATAGCTTGCCCCGAATCCTTAAGAAAAAAAGAAAAAACGTGAGTTGTACCGGGCTTGGCAACCACCATGGAAAACAGACATTGCAAACACAGATTATAACTCAAGCCAGAGTATTAGTACCATCCGGTTAGTAGGAAAACAAGCAAGGAACAGCTAATTCTAAAGTCTCCACAAACAGTTAAAACAAAAAGTCTTCAGTTATGTGCAGAAAAAGGCATAGCTATGATAATTTTCAAGAAATGCTCTGTCTTCTTACTCAGCTGGGAAGGAATCAGGGCTCAGGAGGCTTGATGGGCACATCGGGAAGGGGAGGGGACCCACCGTAGGGAGAGGGCTGGAGTCCGTCAGAGTTCTCTGCCTCCCACTCCACTTTGCCCCAACTCAATCCTATTGTCCCAGTGCTCATGGATAAAAAATGCAGGATCAAGGCCTCCTCCTAGGACTGCCTGATGCCAGAATTAAGAAGAACACACCATGGGGGAAGCAAGACTGGCCCCGGGGTCCTTTTGAGCTCTGAGAAGGAAAGACCAGTTCTACTCATGATAATACAACCTAAACACCCAGACAGGTACTTTGTTTAACAGCAAACATATGAAAAGGAAATGTTCTAGAAACAGCGAATGCCAGCCCTTGACCACTGAGCGGCCAATCTTAGTCAAAAAGGCTGAGTAAGATGCAGTTGGAAACATAGGCATCTGGGGTGTGAATGTATTTTCAATTTCTTCTTCCTAGACTGGGGTAATTTTCTTTTGGGTTCTTTGATTGGTTGGCCTCTATGCTTTTCAGGTCACTAAAGAGCACAAAATCATTTTTAAACATTCTTTAAAAGGGGCCAAATTAAATTACTAGCCACCTCAGACAGTGGGGAAACAATAAGGCCTACGTGACATGCTCTTGTAAAGGGACAGAGAAAAACCATGAATCTGGATGTTTTTGTGGCGCCTCCACACCCCACTTGTAAATTTTTCCTTGATTAGCTGTGGTCAGGGAGAGAATAATAAAATAGATCCACGGGCAACAGGTAAGGTGGGCCTTGTTCTAGAAGTCAGCGCTAAAGACAGGTTCGATCCAGCTGCATGGGGCTAACGGACCTTTCTAGTAAATACCTGGTTCCTGGTTCGAGCATTTCTTCTTCCTCTGATAACAAAAAATAAACAGGCAGCAGAGCAGGAGAAAAAGAAAAGATTATGCAGGAGTAAGATCAGTTAGAGTAAGCAGATCCTTCAGAGTCCGTGAACGCCGAAATGAAATGGCAGCCAGCAAACGTCCTGGGGAGACTGCCAGCCGGCCTGCCCTGAGGAGGGAGTCCCTGGGTCGCAGGGCCTCATGGGAGTTCTGGACCCTGCCCCCAGCCAGCCTTCTAGCATGGCTGCCTTGGACGCCGGGTGACACAGGGGCCTCTTTCAGTCCTTGTCAAAGTGCAGCAGTGGTGGGCACTGAACCATTGCCTCATCTGACGTCTGGCTTCCCCTCAACACAGGGGCTCTTTATTCACCACCTAGGAGCTCTTTAGGTTAGCCCAGCTGCCCACAAAAAGGAGGGACACACACCTTCACGTGTCTACTATAACGCTGTCCCTGGAATTCAGCTCAGGAAACCCCATTCTTAGTAGAAAGCTAATTGTACCAAGATCATGTTGATTCCGTACTATCTGGATAGGACCCAACAGGATTCCACTTGACTCCACATACCAAACAGCTCCCCATGCTTTCTTACCAAGCACACTGGGTAGTTTTTCCTGGGTATCCACATGGCTTTGCTCTCCTTCCTATCCCCTGACCCTCACATGAGCACTGAGAACCCAAAAGCTGAGAAAGGCCCAGGGGAGGGAGGCAGTAGAGAGCCAGAGGGCCTTCATTATCTTGCCTTTGCTGTCACTAAAGCCACTGCAGCCACCCATTTTCAGGGGAGCACTGTTTGTCCTTTCTTCCCATATGTGCAGTGGCTCAGGCTCTGGAGTGGTGCTAAGCCTCACCCAGGATCCTGAGGAGGCTGAACTGAATATGCACCTTCTAGAGAGTGTCATGTGTCTAGTCGCTGGCATCTCAACAACTGGAACTGTCATATGTTGGCTAAACCTACCTGAATCCTAGAACTGAACAAACAGCCTGGTCAGATGGGGCTCTGTGAGCAATCTCCTAACAGCTAATGGCAATAATAACAGCTAACACTTCCATCGTGCTTACTGTGAGAGGGCAGTGCTCTAGGAATATGACACTTATCAGCTTATTTGTGCTAACAGCACCACACACTCATGAGGTAGGTAATTATCATTCTCATTTTATACAGACAAGGTGAGGATTTCTTCTCTGCCCCAGGGGTAGGCCTCGTGGGCTTTAAACCTTAGAATAAAAATTGGGTTTCCTTCTATCTGAGAGAAGAAAAAAAAATCAAGAATTTTGAAAACAGTCAATTCAGGTAGGGTCCCAGAAATTTGTAACATAACTCCAATCACATCTATCCATCATTCTTAACTTGGATATGCTTCCTTGTCCCTCTCAACCATCCTAATCATGGAAGCGCGGTGATGTTATTTTACTGGGAAACGTTTCACAGGTTTGGCATTTCAAAGGTGGGGATTCTTAGTCCATGCAGCATGTTCTTCCAGATAGCATGTGACTCATAAGAGAAAATTAAATTCTGTTCACAAAGGTTGAAGGATTGACTGTATTAGACCGCCTTTTCATTTTTGGGAAGTTAACAGTCCTTGAGAGTAAGACCCTGCTGCATGCAAGTTTGTCTAGTCACTGCCTAGCTCAGAGCAGGTGTGCAGAAGAGCTTGCTGAACTGCACTGATGGTATATAAGTATAGTGTGACTATACAGAACTGCCATCGTTTAACAAATGTAACTTTTTCTTCAGTCAAATAGTCCCCTGAAGAGGCTATGCAGTTATTTCAGCAACGAGCCACTGCTCGGCGCTCTGGGCTATCCCGCTTTGGGGGCTCTTTTCAGGGCCAGTCCACCAGCCTTGCTCTAGCATATGCCTCTTGCCATTTTATACCTCCAGTAGCATCGCAAAGCTGAGCTTTGAATGGCGCTTCTCATTCCAAAGATCAGGGTGTCTGTTCTAATACAAAGTTTGGCGCCACTGACTGGGGACGTGCTACAGGCTCTAAGGAAGACTGACACACTGAAGCAATAGCTATATACTTAGGAAAAGAATGTGGCTGCCCAAGGTGACTACTTCCAAGGGGCCAACCCTCATCCAGCTGAAGAAGTTCTGACGGGTTTGACGGGAGGAATACAGTAGGAATACTTGATAATCACACATGTTATGTAGGAGTTCTCTAGTAAGAGACTCTTTCATTAAACAGAACACCTAATTTTCAAATCCTGTCAGGTAAGAGTCAGCTCCTTCCCAGTGTGCTCACTGATCACCCATTTCCAAAGAGCTGGGCAGATCAGAGAAGGTGTCCCTGCCTCTGAGCCGTCATTCATTCTGCTCCTCCTTGCAGGGACTCTTCTATGCTCCTCCTCTCCGCTTTACTCTTACCCTTCCTGCAAAGCCCCACCAGGAGCCCCCTGGGCCCTACTGCTCACAGCTGTTCTTGCCCTGAGCTCTCACAGAACTTGTGTCCGTGGGGATAATTCACTGAGGGCTCATCTGAATCGCCTTCCCCTTCCATCTTTCTGTGTAGAAATCCTCCCGATGACACTGTAAGCTCTTTGAGGGCAGGGAAAATAGCTTATATGCCTTTCAGTCCCCGCTCAGTTATGGAGGCTGGCTTTTCTGAGGACAAAGGTGAATGAGAAGAAAGTCTTGGCAGAAGAGAGCAGGGGGGCTAAAGAAAAAAGGACCCTTTTGACACAGCTCCATTCTCCCATGACCTCTTGGATGGCAGTGCGCACTCGGGGTTACCTCCAGATAGCACTTCTATCCCAATGCACCCAGAAGCACCCCTCCTTTTGGGACCCTCCAAGTCTAGGTCCTCTGAGGTATCCTGAGTTTAGCAGCTCTTGCTGTTCCCCCGCCCCTGGGCATTTCCTGTTCCTGGCCCTACAGTTCCACTTGCCCTTTCCCCCTGTCCCTTCCCCGGAGCTCAGCCCAGAGGCAGACAGTCCTGAGACCCAAGTGGCCTATTCCTCCCTCTGCTGCAAGTCCTGTGTGCCCCCTGTGTGAGGATGGGCAGCCTGCACTACTCCAGACTCGTCAGCAAAGCCCACGAGCCTTCACTTTTCTCCTGATTGACACCAGTCCTCCTTTCTGCAGAAAGTGTCTTCCTTGGGTGGTAGTGGGCTCTGAAATCATTGGCAGGGACCTTCTCTTCTGCTCCCCTTAATGTTAAGAGTACCTCTCCTCCTCAGTCTGTCCCCCACCGGCTGCCCTTTTCAACTTCATCATCTTAATTTGCCTGAACCATCCTATCTGGGATGGCTTGATCCTATACCCTTGTATCCAAGAAGCAAGAAAGGAGAAACTCACCTAGCTAAGACGTTTTTGGATTTAGTTTGAGGTGTAAAGGGTTAACCTGGAATTCTAAAGAGACTATCTCAGCTCTCCTCCCTTCCCCCAAACTGCCTAACAAGAAGCAAAACGAGGTGGAAGGGTTTTCTCCCGTACAAATTTTATGTTTCCTTTGCTAATATGTTATTAACTCAAAAAAAACCACACAAAAAAAACCCCAGAACACTGATATAAAAACACACTGTGGCCCTCAGGGATTTTCTTTGTGTTGCTTTCAACCAATCTCCTCTTGGATGTGAAATGAAGTAAGGGCACTCTCTAACTGTCCCTCAGGCTAGTTAGGACCACAGTTCCTGAAGCAACAAAGCATGAATGCCAAGGACCCCTGTGTTGGCATTTCAGCCCCACTTGGACTTCACCGTATTTCTTCATGATCTTATCCTTGAGAATCACTGGGAGGCACTTAGCAGCAACTGGTCAGAGACAAAAGAAGCTCTGATTAGAAGCCCTCACTGAAGCTAAGCGCAAGCTGCAGGGAGGAGCTAGCTCGCCATAGGGCCTGGCCGAGGGCACGGATTGAAAGTTCCAGTGGGTTCGGGTAGGGCTGTCGGCAGAGAGGAGGAGGGTGGAGAAAGGCTGCCATTACATTGGGTGCATTCGCGGACTCTGTGGCTCCCCAGCAAGTACCTTAATGAACGCTTCCATACAGCCATTAAATAGTTTATGGCTACACACTGAGAGAGGCCTAGGTCTCCTCATTTTCTGTGGTTTAGGGGGAAGACAGGGGGGCCTAGGGGAAAATGAACAAAAGAAATCAAGAAAGCAACCAATGTAAACATACAACTGGGAAAGAAGCTCTTAAAACCCATAACTGGAGGAGAACACAAAATGCAAATGGAAGCCCCTGAACCCCCAGCACCTTGGTGTCCAATGCTCCATCTGAAGGCCTTTAGATGGTTAGGGGGTCTTAATTTACCCACAATGTCAGGCAGGAGCAACACTTGTATAACACAATGCATTCTAAATCATAGGAAGGAAATAGTACATGTCTGAGAAACGGTTGAAACTCCAATCAGAGGCTGCCATCCTGCAAAGCTGACCAGATGGAGGGGGAATCAGGGGAGAGAGATGTAATCTATAGCCTGAGAAAGCAAGAGACTTCCAAAGATGATTGATTGGAAGGGTTAATTTTCATTATTTTGGCTTAAATTCATCACCAAGTCTCAACTCCCAATATACCAGGGCACTGATTTTCCTAATGCCTCTTGGCATTTCAAATGCACTTGACTAATCTTTATTTCATTGATCTAAGAGCCAGGCAATTATTATTCTCATTTTAGAGATGAAGAAACTGATGCCAAGAGGGAGGCTGCAGCTTCTTTGGGGTTCTGGCGTAACCAAGGATGATTATTATAACCTGTTCTTTAGTCAAGTACACTTCGATTAAAGTGCTTTCAAATCCGTTACCACTCTTAACATCAGCTCAACCCTGTATAGATGGCCTCAACTTAAAGAGGCAAAAATTGAGGCCTAGAGAGGGGAATGGACAGAGCCAGGCCCCAAACTCAGGCTTCTTTGGCTCTAAATCCAAGATTTTTTCCCACCAGGCCAGTCACGGGGCCTTTGGGCATTTCTCCATTTCCAACCAAGGACTCATCCATCCCATTAACCCTTACCAGCGGAGGACCCATGGGGTCAGCTTGAAAGTGTCTTGCTTTGCTTTAGGATCTCCATTCCCTGTGCTCCAGTCTTGGCCACAGGGAGGGGAAACCGCACCACAGTTCACCAAGGACAGTGAAACAGCCACAAACACTGAACCAGTTTCCAAAGTGGCTCACCATGCATATGCCTGTGTTGGCTTATTTGCTCATCTTTCGCCACCCAAGTTGGCCTGACTCAATGCTGCCAGCCTTCCAGGGCAAAGGGCTCTAAATGTTATGAGGAAGGCCCCTCACCAAGAGAGGCAGTTCACTTTCAAATGGCTTGGTTCACAAGTTGGGGAGCAATAAGTGGGGACCTAGCCTGGCACAGATAATGTCCACATGTGACAAGCAAAGACCTAGTCCCCCAGGTCTTGATTGGTCACACGTGAATGGGTAAGAACTCTTATGGACTTTGGAGCCAATTGAGGTGAATGAGAGTCATGCCACTTCTGCTCACTGGCCTTGTTGCACGTGTCTCCTTTGGTAGCCCAGCCCTCCTGGAAACTCTAACCAACTTCTCCTCGGCGTTTGAGTATTGAGCAAATGCTGCTAGCTCCAGGACATGCATGGGCAAAGACAGTGTGGAATCCAAATATCATGCCACCCAAACATTGGAACCAAAATAACAGCACAGACCAATTTAAAAAAAAACAAAAAAACAGGCAAGATGATTTCTAGCCCATCTTGGATCTTTTGTCAATTTGGTTAGCTAAGTCCATGTCATTTCTTTTTGTAAGTTACTTATTTCTTGAGCATGTGGGTATGTGGGAGTGATAGTTCTTACAACGGACCTGATTTTGAATTTCCAAATGCCAAAAACGTGATGTAAGGTCATAGATTTCAAGTCTTTGAATTCGGAATAATGAGGATAACAACTTCACCACCTTGTTTTCATAGTGTTTGGGGGTTTTGTTTTTTAACTTTACCAGAATATTTGCTTATCTCACATTGTAAGATACCCTCACAACAACCCTGTGAGGTAGGCAAGAATTAGTAAACCCATTTTAGACATAAGGCAAATGAGCTGATGACAGATTAAGAAACTTGCCCAAGGTCATGGGAATAGAATTCAGCTCTTCCTACTCCACATTCCGGTGTGAGTGTGAAATTGGGAAATTTATTTTATCACAGAATATCTAACATTAGCATTAAATTATGTATTAAGCTCCCATGGCCAGCAAACGTAGGGGCTATTAATGCAGGACACCCAATATCAAAACATCTTGGTGCCCAACTGGTGAGTTTCCTTAAAATAAGTCCTAAGGATTATTTTTTTTCTTTAAGTTTACAAAATGTAACAAAGGGAAAATAGGATACTTTTTCCTATTTCTCCTGCCCAATCCAGAAAGCAAAGGACTGTTGGCGTCACACCAGGGTTTCTTTCTTTGTGTGGTGCTCTGTGTGCACTAAAATCTCTGACAAGGAAACGTAGCTATCCCAACTTTGCATGACATCAAATCGATACCGACTTACTGAAATGCTGGGTGGGGCACAAAGTGGGGAGCAGGGGGGCAGCTCAGCCAAGGAAAGTGGGGCAGCCTAAGCCTTCCATCTCTTCTGCTGCTCAGTTGCAGAGCAAAAAGGAAAGAAAGAAAGAAAGAAAGAGAGGCAGGGAAAACAGAAACGGAGAAAGCCACGGAGAGGAAGAAAGAGAAACCAGAGACCAATGTCCCCTTTCTGCCTTTCAACCAAGATGAAAATTAACATACATTTGCAACACAGGAATTGGCCTCAAAACTTTTCTATGACCAAAAGGACAGTGAATAAAATCTTCCCTAGACAACCCAATAGACATGGGTGTCAGTGTCCAAAATGGAGACGATATTGTAGTTCAGTGGTGGTTAGGCTCTTGGAGGCTGTGCATTGGGGTGCATCTGTTCAGACAGAAATCTCCAGTGATTTCACCTCTAATTCAAAACATGGGGGGAAATCAACCTGGGTTAGGGAAGCTAGTCTTTAGTTTGAATATCCATAATGAAACCTCATGTTTGCATCTGGCTTTGACATTTGCCATCCACTCTTCAAGTGCATTATTGTGTCTGTTCAGCCTAAATTACAGAGTTATTATGAATTCAGGCTATTCTAAGATGAGGTTCTTAAGTATGAGAAAAATATTGTTTGTTGCAGCCCATGTGCAAAAAACTGGTCCGACTATACAAGGACAGCAGTGACTTGCCTGAGGGGACCTGCTCAAATGATCATCTACAATGACAATGACCTTGGGCAGGAAACTATGGAAGATACAGAGAGCCACCGTATAGAAACATCTCACCCAGGGCCTTGCAGATGAATTTAAAAACGATTTCCAAGTTGACAGTTCATTGTACACATTAAAAATGATTTCTGGAAGTCAGGGGGAGCGTTTAGTTTCCTAACCCAGTGGCCTTTGACCCTGGCCACGGGCCAGAGTACAGATGGCTGCAGTGTACCTACGTGGGAGGTCTTGTCATCCTTGCTTGGATTTCCCAGGCCCTAGGTCAAAGAGGGCATGGAAGACAACATTTCTGTGGACTTTATGAAAACAAAATAAACAAACAAACAACAAAAAACCCTCAACTTTTCCCTGAGGTAGACCCTGGGACATGGCCACAGATTTGATTACAGATCTCTCCTGCAACTTGCTGGAACAATCTTCTCCCACATAAACTCTAGGAATTAAGGGGAAGTGAGGGACGGCTCATTTCGTCCCCCATCTGTTTCACTAGTTGCAGACTGTAAAATGTGGCTTCTGTTGTTCTGGGACTATGGCAATGCCCTCTTGCCAGAATAGATAAATAAATAAATAAATAAATAAATAAATAAATAAATAAATAAATAAATAAATAAATAAATAAATAAATCTGGTATTTGTTTCTAAAAGGTTCTTAGAAACCAAACCTGCACACCTGCTGACCTGTGTGCTGGAAGGTTCTCACCTGGCATCTGAATCATCCTGATGTTTCCAGGCTGCTAGGGCCCAGAAGAACAGCTGCACAGCCTAAGCTTCCTGGAGAGCCCTCAGTCTCTGTTATCCTGGGCCCAGCCAACTGAAAACCTTAGAGCTTTTTTCTAAGCCTCTTCCCAGCCAACTGCCTTCCAGAGGAGGACAGGGTTAAGGGTTCATCCTCCCTCTTGCCAAGTATGACAGCTTTCCAGGATTCTGGGTCACTGGGAAGAATTTGTGAGAAGAGGATGTCATCGAGTCGCTGGGCCAAGAACGAGGCAAAAGGTAGCTCTCAACTGCCACCTGATGGAAAGTGCAGGCCTCTGGACCACAGCTGAATGCATGTGGGGCAGTGGGAGAGCCATTGCCGGGAGCTCAGAAACAGATGGGCTCTAGGAACAGCCTGGGCAATGACAGGGCTGCTTATGGACCTGAACTCTCTGAAAGAAGAGAAAAGGTTCAGTAGCTGAAAGTCAGCCTGTCAGCTATCAGCTGCTGAGTGGAAAGTGTTCACTGGCTCTGGTCTGCTCAGGGAAAAGCGCAAAGGGAAACGAGCAAGCTGGAGAGAAAGCAGAAGTGGCCTGTTTGTTATTTTTCCCAGCAAGGGGCTCCCCATCAGTTCATCCAAGTGCCGGCCAGGTCCAAAGCCAGGGTGCGGGCAGTCGGGGCATCTGCGCACGCTTATGTGGGTATGCGCATGCGGTATGCCCAGATGTGTGCAATTCCAGCCGAATCCAAAGCCTCGGCAGATGAGGAGCCCAGGCTGGGTGCCCGTCCTTGGCTGGGCAGTTTGCTCAGCAGTCATAACAAATGAGGAGAGAGGTCAACAGCTACCCCACAGCCTCCGGCCTCTACTGGTCGCCCTCAGCCATTCTGCAGTGTATATTACCGTCCCGCCCAATGGATAGTGCAATCGAGTGGGGGGACACCCCACTGACCCACAGCAGCTGAAAGCCCCCTCCCCATCACCAGCCTGGAGGTGGCCTGAACCAGCATAGCAGCCGAAACAACATATTTCCCGTCCCACTCAGCACAGCCACCCCCCCACACCCCCTCCGGACAGTGGTGAAGAGCTGTCCCACTCTAAGAATACCCCAGGCTGTCTGAGCTCTCAACAGGGCCTGTCTTCCCCCCTTCCCTCCTCGTCTGCTCCTCCCATCTCACCCCACTCCCCACGTCAGGGCAGCAGGTGAGAGAAACAAGACCCACAGCTCTTACCTGGTTGTGCCACACTCTGCTCGCTCCCCTACAAAGAAAAATACATATTGACGTTTAGTTGTTGTTGTTTAACCAGGGAACCTTCATCGTTTCTAAAAACAGTAAAACAACTGGTATGAATTATTTGTGAAATGGAGAACTGAATCATGCCTAAGTACAGTCTGTTGGAATGAAGTGCCTCTTACTAAATCCCCAGCACCTCCCATCAGTAGAGCTGTGTTCACATACATTTTTTTAGTTGTTCTCACACTACAGCCTGCCAATGCATCAGAATCATCTGGGGCCCTTGTTTAAAATGCAGATTTCTGGGCTCTCCCATGGGCCTCCTGAGTCAGAATCTCTGAGATCAGAACCCAGAAATCAGCATTTTAACAAGCACCCCAGGTGATTCCTTCTGTGCATACCAGAGCTGAATGACTCATGCATGGCTTTATGTCAACAAAGGTTTATGGAGCGCCTATCATGTGCCTGGTCCTGAAGGGTACTAGTCACAAGATACCTTCTTATTGTTCCTCAACCCTGCTACCCCCCTCCCACCCTCCTGCCTTCATTCTCAGCTGAAGACCTGCTCACTTCCTTCAGTGGAAAAGAAAAATTATTAAGACGGGTCTCTGGTGTGCCTCCAAAAGAGCTACCCACCTGCCTGTACCCACCCACTCACCGGCTACCTCCTGGTACTCTGGACAAGCACCCGGCTTCTGCCAAAGCCCAGACCCCCTCCCTGTGCGCTGGGTCCTATCCCTCAGCCCTTCTCAGGGGCTCTGTCCCTGCAAGTATCTTCCCTCTGTCTAGCATGTCCTCCCTTCCAGATCATTTCCATCAGCATACAAACATGTTCTGGATATGTCTAACCTAACTTTTAAACCTCCCCTGACCCCATTTCGCCCTCTAACTACACCCCCAGTTTCTCAGCTCTCCTTTTACAGCAGACCTTCCTGGAAGAGCTGCCCAGAGGGACTGTTGTCCCTCTCCTCACCCCACTACAGCTGGCTTTTGTCCTCACCACTCCACACAGACTCCTCTGTGTGGCTGAGTCCAATGTCTTCTCTGCTCTTATCTGACTTCGCAGCATCATTCAACTCAGTCATTGCTCCCTTCTTCTTATCAAGCTTTCTCCTCTTGATTTTCATGCCTCCACATTTTTGAGACATCCTTCCTGCCCGACAGGCTGTTCCCCAGTTTCTCTCACTGTCTTTTCCTCATCTGCCCAATCTCTAACCTCTAAATGTTGGGATGCCCCCAGGATGCAGACCGCATCTCCTCCTCTTCTCTTTCTGTGCACCTTCCCTAAGTGATCTCAAATGCTTACTGAGGACCCCCTAATCTTATCTCCTGATCTTACCATTTCCCTGGAATTCCAAACTATCCACTGCCTTCTTTTTTATTTTTTAACAGCTTTACTGAGGTATAATTTACATATCATGAGATTCATCCATTTAAAATGTATAATTCAATGATTTTTAGTTACTATTCAAAGTTGTGCAACCATCACCCACAATTCAATGTTAGAACATTTCCATCACATGAGAAAGATCCCCTGTGACAACTGACAGTCACTCCCTCTTCCCACCTCCAGCCCCTGGAAATCACTAATCTACTCTCTGTCTCTATAGATCTGTTTATTCTAGACATTTCCTAAAAATGGACTCATGCAGTACACGGTCTTTTGCATTTGGCTTCTTTCACTTAGCATAATGCTTTTGAAGTCCATCCATCTAGCAATGATTTAGTACTTCAGTCCTTTTACAGGACAGTAGAGAATCTCTAGGCCAGTGCTATCTAATGGAAATCGAATGCAAGCCACAATTTCTAGTAGCCACCTTACAAAAAGTAAAAGAAACAGGTGAGATTAATTTCAGTAATATATTGTATTTAACCTAATATATCAAAAATAGTATTTCAATAAATATCAATATAAAAATTAATAAGATATTTTATATTCTTTTTGGGGGGACTAACTCTTTGAAATCTGGTGTTCATTTTATGCATCACAATTCGGATTAGCCATGCTTCGAGTGGTCAGTAGCCACATGTGGCTAGTGGCCACTATGTTGGACGGCACAGCTCTAGACTCTGGAATCCCATCCAGCATTCATATAAAGAGACCTTTTAGAAGAAAAACCAGAGCATTTATTTTCTCCACAGAAAATAATGGCCGAATGAGGCTGGGGAGAGAAATGAAGGCAGGAAGGGAGTTAACAGAGATCTGGAAATATAACTTGGAGTGAATCAACGAACCATTTCTTAATTCCTGACCAAAGCCATAAGCAGTTGCAAGAGTGACTGTAGTTGGTTTTACTGGAGTCAAAGACCAAAACAGGAAAGGAGAAGAATTAGTTAAAACAGACAAATATTTTCTGCTTAATTTGATTATGTATCTGGGGTCTGGGGCAAATTCCTACCAGACACCAATTTGAGGTATATTTTCACATAGAACCAAGACCCTGCATTGCAGCCAAAGGCAAGCCATGAAAGGGGTGAGCCCGTGGCTGCACTGATTATAATGCACACCATTCCCCTCAGGGCTGCAGTCAGCTGTGCAGCCATGACTCACAAAGGGGACCAAGGAGTTGTTTCCTGCTGCACCTCCTCTTGGTTCCAAGCTGTCCATTCCTCCATGTTTTCACTATGGTCCAGTCACACTGCCCTCCTTTTAGTTCTGACTCATCACATTCCTTCCCACCTTTGCCCATGCTGTGCCCTCGGGCCCCAGCACTTTCCCCAGTTTTTCACATGGCTGACGCGTTCTCCTTCTTCAGTCTCAGCTTAAATGGCACCCCCTCTCAGAGGCCTTTCTGATCACCCAACCTAAAGCAGGTCCCCCCACCATTCTCTGCTCCCCTCCACACGTACACACACACACACACACACACACACACACACAATTGTTCTCTATCTCAGCCCGCTCATAGCACTTATCATGGTTATAATTCTTTATTGAGTAGTTTGTTTGCTGTTTGAAGTGTCTCTTCCCTATGAAGGCAAGAACCTTATCTGTCTTGTATACACTGTAGTCCTGGCCAAGCACAGTGCTTACGGGTGGACAGATGAATGGACAGACAGGGCAGGGGGGAAGACGTGGGAGGTAGGAATCAAAGGGTTTAGGTCCTGCAGTGAAATGCCAGCACACACACAGGGCAGACTTTCCTCTGGCCAGGAAGCTAATCTATACTTTGTCAGCTTTAGACCACCTTTTAGTCTCAAGAACCCCATTACCAACATCTTTTCGAATCTACTCTCACCTTCTAACAAATATCAGAAATTTAAAAATGCTCTGCCCTTTCCATTGTGAGACCTGTTAGGATTAAAAAAATATTTTATTGTTGTTGGCGCAGTCATTTTCTAGAAGGTCAGGCTGTCTGGTCCTGGTGGACATTTTGCTCTGTAATGGGCTATTAAATCTTGGCCTGAATAGGTTATGTCCCATCCCTTTTATAGACAATGCACTATTCATCCTTGAGGAGCTTTAGTAAATTGAAAAATCGCCCACAGCTCGGGTGTAAGCCCTGGAGCTTACAGACTACCCAGAGCAATAAAAAGGTCAGAGATCCAAGACTCAGAGATGATCAACTAAGAATTCTCTGGCCGATAAAGCAACATAGCAACAGCCAAAGGCATACAAGGGTGGGCACTCTTGTTCCCAAGATGTGGCAGTGATATCACTGTAACAAAAATGCCAATTTGCGGGGTGCTAAGAAGCTTTTTGACTTGTGTACCTGGCTGGGTTCAATCACGTTCAAAGTGAAGATGACCCAAAATATTTTGTTTCTTCTAACTTGTGGCTTCTTTCAGCCATGATGGCAAGAGTACTTGAGAGAAATTGAGGCATTCAACACAATACTTTATTTCATTAAAAAAATAAAAAACTTGTATCTTTTCAGTCAAAATATTCCAACGGGCCCCACATTTTCCACCTGTTTTCAGAACTTCCAGATTGTTCCTCGCCATACAAAATAGACCTCAGGTGACATAAAAAGGCCATTAATGCAGGTATAACTCTGCCCTAGCCCATTCTTAGAAGGGTTTTCTGCTGAATGCAAGAGTCAGTGTGCTCAGGTAAGGTAAATCATCTGTTGACACTTGAAAGAATGAATTAGACCAAATTCTGAAATCTCTTTGGCCTGCTAATTCCATGACCCCCTTGCCCAATGGGCAAGAATTTTATCAATCTAAGTCATTAAAAATTCTCCCGCTTGCAAATTACCCCTTTTCACCCAACACCCTAAGGATCCACATATACCTTTGTTGTGCAGTAGACATACAAAAATGACTCAAGATTTGGTCTCAGCTTCAGTTTTTTTCAGTAATTCTGTAATTTATTAATTTTAGTTAATAATAATGTACCAGTAGTCATTAATTATGACAAGTACACCATACTAATGTAAGAGGTTAATAATAGGGGAAATTGGACATGAAGTACTCGGGAACTCGGTACTATCTTTGCAACTTTTCAGAAAATCTAAAACAAAAAGTTTACTTAAAAAAAAAATTCTCCAGAATTGACCAGTCTAATAAGACCCATCCCAGTATCAAAACAAGCACACTGGGCTTTCCCATGGCTGGCTTACTAGAAAACAGGACTACGGCTATTCTTCTAGATGGCTCTTTCTTAGCTGCCCTGTACTTTCTGAAGCTGCTTTTTCCTGCAGTTTTTTTGTTACTATTTAGCTCAAAACTCAGAAGAAAAACTGGTGAATCACATCTCAGAGCAAGGGGTAACTGAGGGCTAAATACACTTGGAAGACCAAATGGGTCAGAAGTTATCCCAACCAAAACTAATTATTATTATTTCATTAAGGCTATTCAGGTGAGCACAGTAATAAAAGATTGCATGGGGGAGCTAGAGAGAGGCACTTTCTCATCTGGGGTCTTACTTTTCAGGAGAACATGTAGTTTTCTGAATCCAAGACATCTGATTTCTAAAACACAAGTAGGCACCAACTCGCACGGACCTGCCTTTTGTTACATGGCTCATGAGAAACAGCCCCCAGCCCTCTGCCCTGTGACTATAAAAACCAATCTCCCTCTTTCATGTTAGTCGTGGAAGCTGCCTCAATCACACACTCACCCAAGCTCCTCTCTAGGACTTTCTGTTTCTTCCCTTTCTTTCTGTTTTGCTTCCCTCTTTGTTACCTACACTCCTGCATGGCCCCATGCACCTGGCCCAATACTGACATGTCAAGATAGGCAGAATGTAGCAGGGTGGAGGGAATGAGGAAAAGGCTCATTGCGACTCACTCTTCCCACCCGTACCCCCAGTCAACGACTTGTGACAAATGTATATACCCATGTATAACCATCACCCAAATCAGGATATAGAACATTTCTATCCCTCACAGTTACCCAGCTCTCACCAGCTAAAGCACAAAACTCAAGTATGGTGATAGAAATCAGATCTGTGGTTGCTTGGGGTGAAGAATGGGGGGACTGGCTACAAAGAGGCACAAGGGAACTTTTGGAGTGATGGAGATGTTCTATATTTTGATATGAGTGGTTATTATTCCTGGGTGTATAGGTTCATCAAGACTGATTTCTACACATAACACGGGTGCATCTTATTGTACATAAGTTACATGTCAATGAAGTTGACTGAAAATTTTCCATTGGTATTAGTTTTAAAACCCTGGTTATTCCTTCAAGCCCTAGTCATTCGTCCTCCTTGAAGCTTTTCCAGTACTCCTGGGCCCATGGTGACCCCTTCCTCTCCTGACTCACAGCCCTCAGAGTCTGTTCTGTTCATTTGATAGTTCATCCAGTATTTCTGGGTGACAATGTTATCATTATTTAGTTTTTTGTGAATTCATGAGTTGTCTCCTGGCTAGATCATACGTGCTTTGGGGCTGTTTCCTCTAAAGCACAGGGCTCACAAATGCTGAGCATCTGCAGATCCTGGCAGGCTGCTTGATAGTTGCCAAGTGGACAGTGATAGGGAGGTATTGTGTGGCCAGAACACCACCACTGGAATGTGTATGCCTAGGGAGAGGGGCAAGTGAAACGCTATCCCTGCCCCCAAAATCTCCTGGGTGACCTCTTGGCCTGCTTCACGCTGTCATCTCAGGATCTACTGGCATCATCACCTTGGAAATTCCCTTCATCTCTCTCCTGGTGGCTCCCATTCCCTGGGCCCCATGTTTCCTTTCCTTTTGGTGGAGCGTGTCCTCCAGCCAACAGCTGTTTCCCAACAGGACACACAGTGTATCTGAGCGCAGGGCTAAGGATGGGGCTCCAAGCAGTATCCAGCAGCAGCAGCAGCAGCTTCACAAACCCGAGGTCAGCTCCTCCCCTCATAGCCTGGCCTCATGCCAAGTTCCAGGTCACCGGAACTTGCTAGAAACCATCCTTGGCTTTGGGTCCTAGTTCATGTTCTGATGACCTTTCCATGCCACTTTCATTCAGTGACTATTAATGGAGAGCTGACTATGTTCTAGGCCTTGGGGATAAAGTGGTGCACAAAATCAGCAAGGAAGTTCCTGCTCTGGTTGAAGATATGATACTGTTGGGGGTAGGGGGCATAACCAAAGACAGTAACCAAGTAAACAAATAATAAATAAGATAATTTCACATGGTGATGACTGAAATGAAGAACATCAAACAGAGACAACGTGGGACAGAGGTGGCGATTCCTTGAGGTCGGGTGACAAGAAGAGTCTCACTGAGGACGTGACATCTGTGCTGACAATGGAAGGACAAGGAGCCATCTATACAGAGACCTGGGGTGAGGGCATTGCAGGCAGGGGAACAGTATATGCAATGGCCCTGGGACAAGAATAAGCTCAATGAGTTTTGAAGGGAAAACAGGAGCCGAGTATGGCTGGAACACAGTAAGGGAGTGGAGAATGGTAGATGATGAGGTCAGGGAAGTAGGCGGAGGTCAAATAACATAAGGCCTCATGTTGCCCTGAGAGCGGTTGGGATTTTATTACAATCATCGCTGGAAGCCTTTGGAGAGTTTTAAGCCTAGTCCTCAGACCCCTCAAGAACCAAACTCTGCCTTACACGTGGGTTTTTTTTTTCCTTTGGACCTAGAATCCTGGGCAGACACTCCAATAGTATTCCTAACAAAGAGTATCTGCTGAAAAGCATCAGTGTGGACCCCTGTGTCCCTGAATTCTCACCCCCTACCTATTGGGGACCGCTTTAGCACTTGGCCTTGGACCCTCCCCGACAACCTAAACCAACATTTGTATTTGCCCCCTACTTTCTGCAACCAGACCAGCCTCCTGTCAGCATCTGTACCAGGGCTATAGACCATAGACTGTGGCAGCCTGCCCAGTCCTAGAAGGTGGTCCTGATACCAGGCCTTGTTCTGCCAAGTGCCCGTGTCTCAAGCTGAAACAGCTCAAGGGGGGCACAACAAAACAAAACCCAGTGAGGAAGACAGCCCCTTCTCATAGGCCTCCGCCACTGACTCACCTTCGCCCAGGGTCTGCTTGAGTAAGTCGTGCTTGGCCTGCAGCTTAGTGATGAGGTTACTGCCGTTCACGTATTCTTTAAATTTCTGAAAGACACAAAGTACAAGGACATTTCTGAAAGACACAAGGTACAAGGACATTACATTGCATGGCCAAGTCCCCCAATCTCTGCCTCTGGAATAGGCCTCCGGGGCAGGGATGTCAAAGAGAGACTGTGCCACCCTCAAGGATATGGATATAGGGAGAAACAGGTCCTCTGCATCTGCTCCTTTGGTCTTCTCTGTCAGATCCCCAGCTCTGCCAACTGGCTGCCCAGTCCTAGGAGGGTTCCGGGCATTTCAGGTCAGTTTTGGGAACACAAAGAAAGCTCAGGGGGAACGGGAGCTGTAAAAGGCGCTTTTGTCAGGTGAGGACTACAGTGGCTCTGAGCAGAGGGCTTCTTTAGTCATCAAAGCTCCACTGTGCTTTTGGGCCAAAAGCAATAATGATAGAACCGTCCCTGGGGGGCACACAGCCGAGGCCAGAGTGCTTTATCGGATCTGTCAGAGAGGATTCTCAGAACAAGTCTTTCTTTCATCTGGCCCCGCTCTGGAACAACAAGGGCTCTGCGGACCCCTAGAGATGTTCCTACTAAAATAACCTCAACTGCATTGGAGGATATGTTTTCTTCTTATTACAGATGAGACAGGTGAGGCTGGCACAGGGAAGTGATGTGCCCAAGGTCCCTGGGACTCCGGGCTGCCTCTAGTTCAGGGGCCTGGCCAAGCACAAATGCACTTTTAAGCAGTGAGGAGAGACAGGGCCCACCCAGAACAGAAATGCATCTACCTGCCCCAGGTTCAGTCGGGTCCCAGGCATGCCTCCATTGAGGTACCAGCTTTCCTCGCCAACTTCCCACACACACACACACACACACACATTCAACAAGCATATTGTTGAACGGCATCCCTAATCATCAGGAAAATATAAATCAAAGCCACAATGAACCATNCACCCCCCCACCACCCTGAATCACCCAACCACAGGGCCAGAGCCCTCTCTGCTGGGGCGTGCCTACAGCTGGGCCTGGCATTTGGTAGGTGCTGAGAGATTTACCTAAATCCCTGACTTGGTGGGGCTGACTTGGTTGCACAGTGGAGAGAGAGAGAGACAATAAACTAACAAAAAAAGTAAGTGAAATACACAATTGCTCAGATGGTGATGAATGCTATGAATGAAAATAAGGCAAGAACGGGGGACTGGGAGTTGGGACAGACCTCACCGCAAAATTGACATGTGAGTCACGGCCTAAAGAAAGTGAAGAAGGGGTCGTGTGGGGACGTGGGGGAAGAAGCGTTCTAAGCTGACAGGATGGCAATTGCAAAAGCCCTGAGAAGGAAGACACAGGAATGGATGTGATTGCCCCAAATCTGCCAGCTAGTTTCTCACAAAGAAATCCATTCTATTGCCCCAGCCAGAACGCTCAGAAAGGGGTGTAAAGGGGCAGAGAAGTGAGCCGCAGAGGCCCAAGGTGCCCCAAAATGACCTGTAAAGGCGCGTCTGGGACATCAGCGTCTTCCTGTGGAACACAGCTGCAGGAGCAAGGCCCATTGCGGGGTGGGGACCGATGGGGCGGGAACTGCCGTGTGCACAGATAAGCCTGGGGTCCCCCCACCCTGGCCCCACCTCAGTGGGTTTCTGGAATGGCTGGGCTGGTGGGAGGTTGTGGTGTTCCCTCTCCTTGGCCATGGTCCTTCTTAGCTCCTAGGACTTCGTCCCTTGGTCATTTAGAGTCACTCCCCCTTGTATCTGTAGAGCATGCGACAGTTTTCCAACATGTTCATTTGGTCCTCAGCTGTGTTGGATGGCAAATGGTGGGGGCATTGTCACTCCCACTCTTCCCAGAAGGAGACAGGAGCTCAGAGCTGTGGCCACTCAGTGTGGCCACCCATGCAGCTTACTGAACATTTCTGGGCCTCCATGCCCTCTGCAGGGTAAAATGAGAGGAAACTCACAATGTTTCTGCAAGTGTGGTGCAGGGACCAGCGGCCTCCTACCCAACCGGGGAGAGGGTCAACATGTAAATTCCTCTGAAATACCGAGTGTCTAACCCCTCCTTCTACATCTTAGGAGGATGCCACAGAGGCCCAGAAGTGTTCACATTTCCAGGGCCCACGTCGGGAGGGTGGCAGCCTGGGAATCTACGTTATGAACAAGCTTCCCACAGGAATGAAAATGATTCAAATATACACTTTAGTTTGATAACAACTCACCTAGAGGCTCTCTCTGAATGCTTCCAATAGTAACACCCCCTTATTTTATCATGTGTTTAAGAATTCTCCATAAAAAAATGCAGCTGAGATATAAGGAGGTGTTTTCTCTACCATTCCTAACAGCCCCTGGTAGCTCTAACCCCACACACGTAACTCAAGCCTTGGTGGGTTATTCACTTACACCCCCAGGCCCTGGGGCCCAAAGCTTCACCCAGGCTTCATGTGTGACCCATGAAGGGAAAAACACCCTCAAATTATACTAATGCACGCAGTAAAAGGAATTTTATGTCCTTAAAAATACCCCCAATAATGTCACAACATCAAATCATGAGGTGTATTAGTCAATCAGGTTGATAAATTGAATACAAGATTAAAATATAACATTGATGACCCTTAAGCATGGATATTGGCAAATTCTATTTTTTTTTTTTATGATTTTATTGGGGATTTGGGGGAGGGGAACAGACAAGCCGCTCTCCCTTTGCTCTTCAGTCTAGCCGTGGAGGACGTCGCTCCACTGGCCCATGTTGGCATTATCATTGTGCTTCTCCTGGGTGAGGCAGATTGATCTCTGGTCACTGGACGGCCGCTCACAGCGGCTCTCGGCAGTTCACGCTGGCTGCCGGCCGATCATGCCAACTGCCAGCCACTCACGGTAGCTTTACAGCAGCCCACTGCAGCTGCACTGCAGCCTACGCCGTTGCCGGTGACTCATGGCAGCCCAGCTCCAGGTCGAGCTGTTGTTCACCATCTTAGCTGTAGAGGGCAGTGTCACTGGCCTTCATGTGGGATCTGAACCGGGGCCCTGCTGCTCAGAGCTAGCGTCCCAAGCCAGCTCTTAATCAACGCACCACTTGGCTGGCCCAGCAAATTCTATTTTTTATTTTCAAGCAGGCTCAACACCCTCCTTTGCTTCTGCCACACAAATTTCTTTGCTTCTGCTGCCAGAGTGAATTAATAATCATATGCACTCCTCATTTATCTTTGGAACCCATACATTCTCTCTGCAAACATAGGAGGTCCCCAGTGGAAGTGGTGAACCCCAGAAATTGACATCAGCTGATTCACTAAGACTAGCTATGTTTTCTTTCTTGAAAACAACAAAGACAAAGAGTCTCAGTACGTGTCAACTATTGGTTTTCGACAAGGGATCTGAAAAGGTCTATCACAGATGGAGTGGGATGTTAGAATTCTGTAGGTTTGCGACTGGTTAAATGATCACCATCTAAAAGTGCTGATTAGTGGATCAATGTCAGCCTAATGGCATGTTTTGAACAACTCTGTCTTTGGCCTTGTCCCTGGCATACCCATTATTATTATTATTATTATTATTATTTTACTAACCAACATTAAGGTATGGAAGCCACACTCACTGAATCTGCAGATGACACACGGTTTGAAGAGACAGCATGTATGTTGAACAACTGGATCAGGATCTTGACAGTCTGGAGACATTAACTGATTCCAGTGAGAGGAAATCTCACTGGTGATAAACATTAGATCCACCCAAGACGTCATCTACACATCCTTTAGAAGGAGGGTGGCCTAGTTTAATGTCAGCGAGTAGGGATAGAGATTTAACTGGTATTAACTTAGCTTTCAAAAAAAAAAAAGGAATATGATCTTAGGACATATGAAAAGGAGCAAAGCACCTACTGTGGAAAGAGGTTTAGTTCTATTCTGTGCTGGTCAGACCACTGCTGGGAGTCTCACTTTAGAAGAGGCATCGACAAATGGAACATGTTCAGGAGAAAGTCCCTAGGATGCTGAGGCCACTCAAAAGGAAAGCAATATGAAGCAGGTTGAAAGAACCAGATATGTTTAGCCTGGACAAGTAAAAACCCAGATCCCTGCAACCACACCAAAGATTGTTCAGCCTCTCTCTGGTTGTCTGAGAGAACAGGATCTAGATCAAGGACCAGAAATCTTAGTGAGGCAGGTTTTTGAAGAGAACAGAAATAAGGAAAAATATTATAATATCTATAGGCAGTCACAAGTCAAACAAAAGGGCTTTTAGGGTAGGAGGGAGCTTTTCATCCTGGGACTGTTCAAGTAGGGTCTGTATGACTTTTTTTAGCAGGTTTATGGTGGAATGGGATCAAGCATCAGATGGAAGACTTAAGGTCACTTACAACCCCGAAATCTATGTTCACTAAACGCATGTTGAACTAAAGCTCAATGTCCCTTGTCCTTGTTCCTTCCTGTCCCTGGCCGAGTGGAATGTTGGCCATCTGGAATTTTACAGGACGGTCTGGCAACTCACCAGCAATTTGCATGGATCCTGCAGGGCACCATTTCCAAAGCCTGCACCCCAATTTGAGACAACGCAACATGACAACTATCCACTAAACTTTAAGGTTGTTACATGGGGCTTGCACCTGGCTCTGTAACCATTTTCTTTTCACCCTACTGAACACACTCTCTGTTTTTGTTTTTGTTTTTTCCCAGAATAGGAAAGTTGCAATAGCTGTCAATTCAAGATCAATTCCTGTGCTATCCACTGGTAATTCAGTTTCTGCATTTCACAAAGCCAAGCCAGGCAAATTAATTTGAGAAGGACATTGGAAGAATTTTAGGTCTACCTGACCCACGTGGTTTCACTGGCTCCCCCTAGCTTGGGCTGCTCCCCAGAAGTTAATGCCAGTGGGTCAGCAGACAGCAGGTTCTGGGTCCAGGACACCACTTACTGTAAAATAAAACATTTCTGTTTCCTGCTGGTTAGCTCTCCTTTTGGCGATGTTGATCTTGCTCATGTAGGTCTCAGAGGCGGCGGACTTGACAGATTCTGTGGACCGGCTGTGTTGGAAAGCATCAGAGACATCGAAGTCCTCCACGGTCAGCATGTCCTGCAAGGTCTGCATGGTGGCATCCAGGGTTTTTCTCACCTGGGGAAACACAGCATGTCAACAAAAGTCTGTCAGCCTCAGAACGCCTGTGACACCTCAAAGTCCTTTTCCTAACTGTTATTTTAGTTCTACCACACAAAGCCTCTAGGAGGCAGGCAGGGTCCTAAGGTGGTCTTTCCCATTATATGGGTGTGCAAGGGAAGGCCAGTGAGTGGGCTGGAATGAGAACCCAGGCGGCCCAATCTAAAGCCATTTTATTGAATTGCTCCCACCAGACAGAACCTTGGTGAATGTACAACAAACAAGAAGCTCAGGTTTCTAGGTTTGTTTCTCTTTACCTGGTTATATAGCCCCAAACTAGCTCCTCCAATGGGAGGCAGGTCCCTTGAGGAGGGACAACACTAGAAATACTCTTGGTTCCCATCAGGGAGGGGCCAAGGCCTGGATAAGGTGAGCAGCCATCCTCAATGAATGAACGCTCCAGCTATCTGCCACCTGAGTCCTATCAAAAGACTGACAGAAAAGAGAAACTCACGGAAGACAGACGCTGAGACAAAGCTGTCTAGTCAGCTCTCCAGGACTCCAGCTTCTCTCCTGGGATCAAGTGGGGCCCCCAGAAGGCTACACATGCAGGGCACACGAGCCCCCACCTCACAATGCATAACCCTTCGTTGACTTGCACCTAAATGGCGGACCAGGTACTTTGATGGAGTGTCATTCCAAAAACAGCTTCAGGAGAAACTGCACCTACATTCACCATTAAATTATTATTGCTTAATGTCACTTTCTTGTTACACAGATCTCAACTTAAATGTCACCTCCAGGTGACATCAGGCCCCTCCGATTGCCTTTCTTAACTTAGTGCCTATCTGTCTGTATCTGTCTAATACTTTGCATACTCATTCATTTATCGGCTTGTTTGCTTGTGTGTTTGGATTATTATTTTTCGTTTCTCACTAGAATATCAACTCCATGAGAGGAGGTCCTATGTTGTCCTACTCACTTTACTTTGCACTTAGCACAATGTTTAACACCTAGTATGTGCTTAATAAATACTTGAACACATATTTGTTGAATAAATGCTTGTTGAATAAATACATGAACAAATCATTTCTTTCTGACATCGCCTGACAGAAGCTCTGAATCAAACTCAAACATTTCCATGGCCATGAACTGCCTATACAGACAAAGGAAGAGCTGCTTCATTCTTTCTGTGGCCTTGATTTCCAATTTAAATTTCATTCTTGTTATCTATATACTGTTCCATGTAAACAATTTTAAATGCTTCAGGGAAAGATATAGGGCAGGAATAAATAACGAAAACACTCTGTTCTTCTCAGGTTTGAAAAACAGGTATATAATTTGTCTCCACATAGCCTCCCCCAAGGGACTGCTTTGATTCGTCATCATCCTCAACAACAGTCCGTCTCACAGAGACACAGAGCAAAGCAGCCCTCTCTGCCCAGGACAACCGTCTGAGATGTGAAGACAGGGGACCATGACACCCCATTGCCAGCGGTGAATGCACTTCTCAATGATAAACCTGCCCACAATCTTGGGTGACACTCCCTACATCCTGGTGTCCTCCAGCTGGTTGACATCCTCCCTGCATGGAGGCACCCAGACTGGACTAGGATGTTTCCCATCTGTCCTCATCAGTCCATCAGAATAGAACCGCCACAGCTGGTCTTCCATTTGGACCCTCCTGGAGATAATCCTGTGCCAGCAGCTGCTTGGGAGGTACGCTGGCCAAGGGAAGACAGAAGCACCTCAGAGCTCAGAATCCAGGACACATTTAGCACGCCCTGGGTGGTTTACTGAATTATATAATTTATTATTATTTCTGATGATAAAAATAGTATAAACTCATTGCAGAAAATAGACAAAAGCACAACGAAGAAAACAGAAACCACCTATACTCTGCAACCCAGACATAACTACTTTTAACTTTAAAGTATTTCCTTCCAGTCTTTCGTCTATGCCTGTGAATACGCAGATACATGTGCACATACTCTAGGGTACCCTAGTTATGATAATACTGAACATATAGTTTTACTTCCTCTTTTTCTTTAACTTGACATATTGTAAGCATTCCTCACTACCATTAAAGATTCTTGGTGTGCATGGTTTTAATGGCTGCGTAAATAGTCCATCTTACAGATAAACCCTAATTTCTTATGTGTTCCATGACGAAAGTAGACTCCCCGAAACAAGCCAGGTCTTTGTAAGAAAATCCCTTACAGGGCAGACGGGCTCACTCACCTCCTCATTCTCTATCTTGAGAGTGGCCAGTCTGGACTGCAGCTGGTGATACCGCATGAGCAATTCTGTCTGGACGGGCTGCTGAGCGCTGACCTGGCACACCTGTGAAAATGACACCCCCCACCTACAGTTGCCCAGTGCCCTCGTCACCTGTGTGGAGCTAGAGCAGGAGCTATCACTGATATCATATCAAAAGCTGAGGAAACAGACTTAGAGGTTGAATGACCTGCCAAAGGTCACACAGCTTATCCCTGGTGATGCCAGATGGAAACCAGGGGCCACCCTCTGGAACTGCAAGGTGTGGCCCCTCAGTCATGGTCTTCTATATTGTGCACTCTCGGGGGGGGGGGGGGGGTTTACTAAGAACTCTGACATAATCTCATTAACTGAGACTCAGTTAGTTAGTCTCCAGGCAGGAAGTTGTGGTAAGAAAGCCACTGCCTAAGAGAAGTCAATGAAAAGAACAATGAATGCAGAATAATCAACAAAATGCTCCTATTCCCCTGCAGGAAGATGCTTCAGAGAAGCGGCCATGAGGCAGTCTCACTCTCACGGACCCTCTTCCGCAGCAGGTTGATAGAGTGAGAGGTGGAGGAGGGGAAGAGCCGAGAAAAATATTGTTCTCCCTACACCCATTCCACCACCCAGGGCTCTGTTACCACTTGGGGGCTGGGCTACCTGGGGTGACTCAGCTGAGATCATAAGAGACAGTAGGGCTCTATTATTTATTAGTTATTTACCATGACCAGGCAACAACCCAAACTTTGCAGTCACCAGTGGTAAGCATGAGGTCAAAATTTTCAGGTCTAGATGATGGGCCAGAAGGGATGGACAGAGGGATAAGGCAGGAGTTGCAGGGAGCCCTGCAGAAGGCCACTCTTTTGCAAATGAAGAAAGTGGGTAGAAGCACCTGGAGGGTGCAGCAAATGCTGTCTGCTAAGGAGCCTCCTTGTCCCTCCCTGCCAAGCAAGGGCAGCGGATGGCCCAGTTGAGCTCCCACGAGATCCAGAGGCTGGCGGGATCTGGTAAACGGTTTGTCCAGGTTCCCCAACTCTCATGTGTATGGGTGGGCTATATCTAGGTGTAGATATCCCAGAGGGTAGAGATGACAGTGATGGGGACACAGATATGACATCTGGTGGCTGTCCTCCTCCATGGGCTCCAGGACTAGGGCCTGAGCCCTGGAGAGAGCAGGGAATGACACGGAAAAGCTCAAGGAGCTATTTGCATAAGGGATTTTGTGAAACTTGGGTAAACAGTGCGCTTCTTTGGGGCCAGTGACAAATGCCTTCTCCCAATTTTTTCCTCCAGAGTAGAGCGAGGACCTGAGCAGCACAAGCACTGAAGGAAACTCGGTGGTGCTATGCCTGCTGTATTGAAGGACAGGCAGTACTCTGGCAAGGATGCTGACCAGAGCAGCTGTGATGAGGCCCAGCCTCCCGTGACCCGAGGGAAGACTGTGAGATGACTGTATACAGACATGGGACTCTCTTGGGGTCTTCTAGACATACCTGGTAGGGTTTTTAAGGAGCACTAAAGTCCTGCAATTCCGCAGGTGGGAGACTTGAGCCAGCAAAGTTAGTGTTTGTGGTAAACTCCTTGGCTGGGGAAGCCCTTACATCATGAACCTGACCCTAAACTGCTGAGATAAACATCTTGCATGTGGAACGGGAACCACCATTCCCCTCCCACCAATGTTCCGGGAGCACATGGGAGAACAGATGGAAGCAGCCTCAAGCATGGGCTCCTGGGAGAAACCTACCTCATCTCCCATATGGGGCTGGAACTCAAACTTGAGTGGAGGACAGAAGACCTGGTTGCACATGTCCATGACGGTGTGCTTGTCACTTCGGGAATCCAGGTTGTCCACTGCATTCTCAATTACATCTAGCCCCTCATGGCGAGATGTCTCCAGGTTGTACTCGGCTGAGAGGTAGGTCCGGAAGGTGCGGGCCAGGCTGGCATGAAAGCCCAAATCACAGCACTGAGAAAAAGGCACACAACAGAAGGGTGCGGGTGAGGGCTGTGATGTGGAGGTGGGGCCACCGGTATTTCCTTTCCTGTTATGGTGACTGATGACTACCTCTCATTCCAATCTTTGAAAGATCTCAGTCAAATCTTTCATCCTGGAGGCCCTTCTGCACCTTGGAACCCCACCACACAAATCACACCAAAGCCCCCAGAGGGAGTTGGGGATTGCAATCTGGGCAACAGCAAAGCTTCTCTCACCTTCCCAAATTCACCACCTTCTTTCTCATCTCTAGGCCTTTACACATGCCTTCCCTCTGCCTTTCTCCCCCTGCCTAAATACTCTTCCTCCAGGTTTCAGTTTAGAGATCACTTCCTCCAGGAAGTCTTCCTTGATGCTCTCCACACTCAGAGTTGACATCAGATGTCCCGCCTCTAAGCACATCGCCCTCTACCTCCTTCACTGTAACACCTACCACATGGCATTGCAATTGCCTGTTAACATGTCAGAGTTATGCACGTCGAGCTCCTAAGGGCAGATGCAGTGGCTCTTGTCCACAGTGAAGCCTCAAGACCTAGAGCTAGTAGGTGCTCAATAAAAATTAGGTAAATTGAAAAGACTGGAAGGCGTGAAAAAGAAGGATGTAAGAAAGAAGGTTGTGGGCCGGCCGAGTGGCGCGATGGTTAAGAACTCGCTTGGGATGCCAGAGGGCCCCGGTTCGGATCCCACATGTGAGGGCCAGTGACACTGCCCTCCACAGCTAAGATGCTGAACAACAGCTCAACCTGGAGCTGGGCTGCCATGAGTCGCCGGCGACGGCGTGGGCTGCAGTCCCTGTGGCAGTGGATTGCAATGGGCTACCGTGTGTGGCCAGCAGCCAGCGTGAGCGGCCAGCAGCCGCTGTGAGCGGCCGTCCAGATGCCGGCGACTGATCTGCCTCGCCAGAGAAGAGCGCAATGATGGTGCCAACTTGGGCCAGTGAAGCAACGTCCTCCACAACTAGATTGAAGAACAAAACGACAGCAACTTGCCTGTTCCCCTTTCCCCAATTCCCCAGCACTGTTCCCATCCCCCCAATTCCCCAATAAAAATCTTTAAAAAAAAAAAAAAAAAAAAGAAAGAAGGTTGTAAGAAAAAGAAGGTGGTCTCAGGCTTGGGGAGGCACAAGCAGGGCCGAGCAGCTCCCTGTCCTGGAGATGGTGATAACGGTCCCTCCTGCAGTCTTCCTGATGTCCTGACAGGACACGCCAGGGCCAGAGAAAAAGGATCCATCCGCCAGTGTGGAATCTTTATTGAGCATCTACTGAGCCTGATCCCTGTCTCTGGGGGAGGGGAAGACATGAGAAGCAGTCCTAGCTCCAATACAGATGACAGACGCTCTCCCTGGTGACACTGCTTGCAGCGCTCTTTCTCCAGGCACGTTGTCCCTGCAGTGTCCCATTCTCCTTTTGCTGAAACTGCCTGATTTCTCCCAAGATAACGTTCCCAAGTAAAGTTGATCTGTATACAGTTGACCTTTGAAGAATTCAGGTTTGAACTGTGTGCGTCCACTTATACATGGATTTTGAACAATAAATATACAGTTGGCCCTCTGTATCCTGGGTGTTGCATCCTCTGATTACACCAACTGTTTCTTTGATCTGGGGTTGGGAATCCGTGTATGGGGAGGGCAAACTATACGCATTGTTCTGGGCAATTTTATATGGGACTTAAGCACCTATGGATACTGGTATCCGCAGAGGGTCCTGGAACCAATCCCCCTGCAGATACTGAAGGATGAATGTAGTTAAGTTTTGGGGGAGTCAAAAGTTACATGCAGATTTTCAACTGAGCAGTGGGGTTGGAAGGGGTGGTGTTCAGTGCCTCTAACCCCTGCATCATTCAAGGATCAACTGTAATTCTGTCTCATTCATTATTTTCCTTCATGTGCCTATGTATAACTGGCAGACTAGACCTGGGGGCACTGAAAATATCAACACCTGTACCACCCTGGGAAATCCCTAGGGCATGAACTGTGGACGATCACACCTGTACCCACACACATAGCAAAAGGCCTGGTGTAGAGGAGGGTACTTGGGAAGTACATGCTGAATACATGACTGCCCAACCCAACTGTATAGGGGCCGGCGGAGGCCCACTCCCACCCATGGAAGTAGAGATTCATCTCCCAGGCCCCACATGCTAACAGCCCTTCCCCTCCACCCTGGCATGGCAACTGAGGACAAGGGCCAGCCTGGGTGTGGGGCCCTGTTCAGTCCAACTCCCGAGGTGCTCACGTCGATTAGGTCGGAGACATCATGGATGTAGTATTTGCTTATAGCTGCGTTGGTGGCTGCCAGATTCAGCAAGTAGTCATTCCGTGCCTTCGTGCACTTCAGCTTGTTCTCAGAATATTTGGCCTGCCTCTGGAAGAAGAAAAGAGATGTGAGAACTCAGCCATTAATGGTAGTAGGGTTTGGGGATTTTCTTTATGGCCACGGCCTGCAATTCAATCCACCGCACACCTCTCCATATGCTAGCCTTACTCCATATGCTTAGGTGAGTAAAATTTGGGACTTATATTCAACAAGCTCACCTTACAACCTTACATTGCCTGTGTGCAGCCAGACACAGCACTGCTGGATAAGCAGCCATCTTTTTTTTTTTAAGATTTTTATTGGGGAATTGGGGAGATGGGAACAGCGGTGGGGAGTTGGGGGAAGGGGGAACAGACAAGTTGCTGTTGTTTTGTTCTTCAGTCTAGTTGTGGAGGATGTTGCTTCACTGGCCCAATTTGGCACCATCATTGGGCTCTTCCCGGGCGAGGCAGATCAGTCGCCGGCTTCTGGTGGCTGCTGGCCGCTCACGCTGGCTGCTGGCTACATACAGTAGCTCATGGCAACCCACTGCCACAGGGGCTGCAGCCTACGCCCGTCACCGGTGACTCACAGCAGCCCAGATCCAGGTTGAGCTGTTGTTCAGCATCTTAGCTTTAGAGGGCAGTGTCACTGGCCCTCATATGTGGGATCTGAACCGGGGCCCTCTGGCGTCCCAAGCCAGCTCTTAACCATTACGCCACTTGGCCAGCCCAAGCAGCAACCTTTTAATGGCCTCTACTAGAGCAGGGTGTCCATAAGACCTCCTGAGGCCCCCACTCAACAGCCCCAATAGCTGCCCAAACTGTGACAGTGGCCTGTGAAGCCCTCCATGACCTTGCTCCGGTCCACCCCTCAAGCCCCTCTTCCTTCAGGCTTCTTCTCATTGCCAACCTCCTCTGCCCTCTTTTACGAGGCCAAGTTCACTCCTGCCTCTAGGCCTTCACACTAATTGTTCCCCCTGCCTGGTAGGCCATCCTTCCATGTCTCTATATGGCCTGGTCCTTTGTGTCATTCAGGTCCTTACCAAGGGTCACACTGGTAGATGGGCCTCTCATGGCAGCCTTGTAATAAAGTGTGTTGCCAGCATCTCCACTGCCTCTCCCCCACGCTCTATCCCCTTGCCGTGCTCTATTTTTTCCATTTATTTCATCTGTATTCAATTTTTAGTGATTGCTTTCATTTTATTTTTTAAGGCTATTTTTTAGAGCAGATTTAGGTTCACAGAAAAATTGAGAGGAAGGTACAGAGATTTCCCATATAATTTCTCCCCTCACCCCATCCCCCCAGACAGCCTCCCTACAATCAACATCCCCCAGCAGACTGGCACATTCATTAATAATTATCACCCAGAGTCCATAGTCTACCTTAGGGTTCACTCTTGGTGTTGTACATTCTATGGGTTTGGACGAATGTATAATGACATGTATCCACCATTACAGTCTCATACAGAGCATTTTCACTGCCCTGAAAACACACTATGCTCTGCCTTTTTATCCTTCCGTCCCTCAACCCCTGGCAACCTCTCATCTTTTTCCTGTCTCCATAGTTTTGCCTTTTCCAGAATGTCATATAGTTGGAATCATACAGTATGTAGCCTTTTCAAACTGGCTTCTTTCACTGAGTAATATGCATTTAGGGTTCCTTTATGTCTGTTCATGACTTGACAGCTCACTTCTTTTTAGATCTGGAACCTTTAGTCAATATTCCATGGTCTGGATGTACCACCATTTATTTATCCATTCACCTACTGAAGGATATCTTGGTTGCTCTATTTTTCTTCAAAAGCACTTTTCACCACCCAAAATTATAAGTTTACTCCTCTTTGTGTACTTCCTGATTTTTGGTGTCCTCCACTAGAAAGTAGGCTCTCTGAAGTCAGGGACTTAATCTGCCTTGTTCATGGCTGGGCCTCTAGCACCCAGAACAGCCCCTGCACAAGGCAGGTATTAAATGATTTCACTGGTCGCCTGGATATGAGTGGTGGGGAGACGCAGGGTGGAGCAGCCAGAGCGGGGCCAGTCTTGGCGAGGAGCCGGGCTGCCTCCCTGGGAAGCTGCTTCTGTTCTGGGCGAGCTGGGCAGGAAGGAGAAAAGAGTGCATGGGTTAGAGAGCCGTCCCCTTGCCTCTTTCAGACTGATGAGTCCCACTGCTGGATAAAAAACAGCTCTCCTTAAAGACACAGGGTTCCCTCCTTTACCTAGACAACGCTTAAACCTTCCTTATTACAGACTGAGTTCCCCTAACACTTTAGTAGAGGTGTCCCCAGAGATCTCCTCTGACCTTTCCCCAGGGTCCAGTTATTCTGGGAATTTCCAGAAACAGACTCTGGCAACTACACCCTGTACCAGCCATTCAACCAACCCCCACAGAGAGCTTTGATACAGTCCTGACCCATTTCCAGGGGGCTACTATGATCCTGAGACCATTTTCAGCCCTTCATGGACTCATACAATTTTATATCTGGGAAGGATATTAAAGGTATCTTAGTTTAATTCATCCATTTTATAGGTGAAGAAATGAGAACTGAAGAGAATTAGCTGGTCCAAGACTCAAATGACTAATTAACATACAACTCTGAACAAAAAATTAGCCTCCAGAATCCCAGCTTGTACTCTCTCCAGCCCTCTATATATCCCCTTATGTTGTAGTTCTGTAATTCCCTGCCTGGCTATCTTATTTTTATTTCTTTATTTTTAGTATACTCACAGATTTGTACAACCATCACGACTATCTAAATTTAGAATATTTTCATCATCCCCCAAAGAAACCCTGCACCCATTAGTAGTCATTCCCCCATTCTCCTCTGCCCTAGCTCCTCGCAACCACTAATCTGCTTTCTGTCTCTATGGATTTGTCCATTCTGGACATTTCATATAAATAGAATCCTACAATATGGGGCCTGTTGTGACTGGCTTCTTTCACTCAGCACACTGTTTCCAAAATTCATCTATGTTCTAGAATGAATCAGTACTTCATTCCTTTCTATGACTGAATAATATTCCATTGTGTGGCTAGATCACATTTTATTCATCTATTCATCACTTGACAGACACTTAGGTGGTTTGCACTTTTAGACTATTATGAATAATGTGCTATGAACATTCATGTGCAACTTTTGTATGGGTATATAGTTTAATTTCTCTTGAGTAGATCCTAGGAGTGGAATTGTTGAGTCATATGGTAATTTAGTCTATGTTTAACATTTTGTGGCACTCCAAAGTGGCTGAACCATTTTACATTCCCTCCAGCAGTGTAAGAAGATTCCACTCTCTCCACATCCTCATTAATACCTGTCATTATCTGCCTTTTTTTCAACCTTAGCCATCCTAAGTGGGTATGAAGTGGCATTTCATTGTGGTTCGGATTTGCAGTTTCTTAATGACTAATGATGCTGAGCATCTTTTCATATACTTATTGGCCACTCATACATGTCCTTTGGAGAAATGTCTATTTAAATCCTCTGCCCATTTTTAAATTGAGTTTCTGCCTGATTATTGTGAAGCCTATTTTTCTTTGCCTTTGGAAATTACCCTGAAATCTTATTTTCTTTGCCTCTGGTTATTTTTCCAGCTTACCTAAGTCCTGTTGGATCTTGTTCCAACTCAATCTCCTATAAGTTTTAAAAACTGTAGGATCATATCATCATAGAATTCAACTCATAGGAGCCCAAATAAACATCTGGCACAATGTTTGGCATATAGAAAGAGCTTGGAAAATGTTTGCTGATTGCATGGAGTAAATAAATACAAAGAATTCAACAGGAAATCATAGCCTTTTAAGAAGAAAGGAACCTGGGCCGGTCGAGTGGCGTGATGGTTAAGAACT